GATTAACAAACCATGTATGTTGTTCGTTCCAAGAGGTTGTCGCCGATCTTTAACAGATCGCAATTTCATTGAAAAGTATTAAAGATGTCGTGAAAGAGAGCTGCGTGTTCAGGTACAACCTCGGCCAACCTTAGGACGTAAGGTATGAAGGTTCTACTGCCTTTAACATCCTTTCACATGAAAATTTCTCGAACTTGGGCCCTTTAAATGAAATATAAAGTCAAAGTTGATTAAATTAATTTAATGGTGGTTTCTGTTCACCCGTGAATTCACGGGTAGAACCTCTTGTTTCAGTTTAAAGTGTGAATTGTAGTTTAACAGCTGAATGTACATTCGTAGTACATTCATTCAGATAATTTAAACAAGAGACGTAGTATAAAAATAATGATAGGCCTACTTTAATTAAATTACAGTCTGGTGTAAGGTAAACAAAAAACTGCAGTGTTTAAAATAATGTTTACCTAAAAAAACTTCTGGTAGTGTCCTATTTACAAGCAAATACAAAGTGAAAGTAAATAATGATTTGTTATGTAAAAACCAGATAAACACTAAGTATAAAATACGAAATTAAAAACTAAACCAATGTAACAAGAGACAAGTATGTTATAAAAATGTGTTTAAAATATAATCCTATATATTAATTAACAGTCTGGTGTATTGGTACAACAAAATATTAAAATTAAACTTGTAACTGCAGTGTTTAAATGATCAATTACTACAAAAAGGCTTCTAGTGATGTAGATATTTACAATCAATAAAAGAAATTTACAGTTTGTTATATACAAAATCAGAAAATTCAGTTGGATGGAATTAAATGCCCCTATGCATTTCATTCAACAATTAATTAATGTAAGTTGCAATTTAATAATTGGAACACACAATTCAACATTGTGCATTTCCAACAAAAATTATGTTGGATGGAATTAAATGTACTGTTGTTATTAGGTGAAATAACACAGAACAAGTAAGTATCAAAATTAAACTTTTACGGCCAAAATTTAGCGTACGCAGCCAACGAAATAAAGAATTCAAGTTAAAATTACTACAAGTATTTTGCATTTAAAGGTTTCGTAATACAGTAAAGTTAAATAGACACCTTCTAGTGAGGAAATGCACTATTTTGTATTGTTTTTCTACCTTACACAAACATCTGTTACTTTTATATTTAGTGTTCGCGGCCAACGAAATAAAGAATTCAAGTTCAAATTACTACAAGTATTTTACATATAAATGTTTCGTAATACAGTACTGTTAAATAGGTACCCTCTAGTGATGAAATGCACTATTTTTTTATTGTTTAACTACTGTACACGAACATCTGTTACATATTTAGCGTTCGCGGCCTAAGAAATAATGAATTCAAGTTCAAATAACTACAAGTATTTTACATTTAAATTTGTCATAATACAGTACTAAAAACCACTATCATATACAGTATTAAAAGAAGCATAAAAGATTTATTATATGTAGTAAGAATTTGCGTATTTTTGAATCTAAAATTTTGAAACAAAAATAGGTTTATTTGGGGCAGATATCCACCACCCGTAGACACCATCACTTCCTGAGTCGTTAATGCCAAAGATTACAGCAGTATTCTAATACAATAGTAATGTATTTCCTAGAAGGTTGGCTCCAATGCTATTTGCCCTGTTTCCTGTGTCGACGACCCTGTCCACCACCCCACAGGTATTTCCGGGAGATTCCTGGGATTTAGTGGGTAAAGCGCAAGCTCAGGTCAGGTACCTACTCCCAAGAAACCTACCCTTTACACCACATTATAGGGGCAGCCCAGGCCGAGTCAGGGGCAGCGCAGGCCGAAAGTCCGTTTCCCCTCCTCGAGGATCTCCCCCTCGTAGTTGTATTATTTGTGCTCTACTGCAAACTGCCCTAGGTTACAACAAACATGCGCAAAAATTTGTCACACTACAAGGTAGCATTCCACAGTCAACTAGGAACCTCCTTAGGCCTAGTTGAATTGGTTTTCGCCAATTCAAATGACAACCAAAATTTGACCAACTTTTCCACAGTTCGTTTAGCAACTAAACTGGCTTCTGTTTAATTTCACAAATTTAAAAAAAGGTACCGGTATCCAAATATTTTTGGGGGGAACAGTTTATCAGATAACGTATGTCAATCAATTCTTGCATCAATGTCAAAATAAATTGAGCAATTTATGATAGCTTAGTTTTTGTAAGCATAGTGCGACCTAGATTTACGAACGCATGATTCATTTGGTTTCGTAGTCACAGTGTAATAAGATAATCTGACCAATTCGATAGTGGTACATGAAGAATCGAATCTGTTCGTCCAAGTACACACTCGTTATAATTTACCATGATATTCGCTAAGTTGGTATGTATAAGTTGGGTAAGTTGTCATTGAGCGATCGAGGATCAAGATATTATCATTAGTCAGGACAAAATATACATCAGACAGTTCTGTTAACACCACAGAACAGAGCTGGCATTTTGTAATAGATTTAAACTTAAAAGCTTTGAAAAGCTCGTTAAGATACTAAGTGGATTCCAATTATACTCGGTTATTTCTACTTGTTTACTTATGTGTGAATGCAGCTTGTTATGTCCATCAAACCACTAGGCCTCCTGGGCCATCTAGCCTATAACAATTTTCATTGCCAAATTCACAGAAAGATTAATACCTTACAAAAATTAAATACTTTCACTAACAATAATTTTTACTTTTCCTCAATTCGTAACACACGTTTAGGCGTACTAAAGCAGTGTAATTACTCTTCGATATTTGTTTAAGCGAAAGCTAAACAATACAACAAGATAACAGCACAACCATTAAAACCATTAATGGGTTGTGATACTCAAAACCCCTATTCAGGCACTAAGTAGCAAGAATGCAAGTGTAGAACCCTACAGCCTTCGTGAGAAACTGTAGGTTGGGTCAGGTCACTATTGTTGGGGCGAAGCCTCCACAATAGCAACTCAACAACCATCAAATCTCAAAGGCGGCCTTGGCGGAACCTCCGGGAACCACGGAGGAAACCAGGTATACTATACTATAGCATGGTACTCGTGCGGGGTGGCGGTGGAAGAGGGGAAAATTAAAAAATAATTGTACCTACAACAAGTTTACAAAACTTAAAAACATTTAATTCTACAGAAACGGCCAAAAAACACATTGTGTAACATGTCAAGTGCTTATGGGGGGGAAGTACAGTACAATATATCTATTTTATTAACGTTAAAGCTCACATAATTTAGCAAATTCCGCTTACGAAATTTAATCATGTAAGGAATTTTGGTTCAAAGAAGTATTTATTGAGACAACTTAATCCTAACATAGGCTAGAAGGATTTTGGAATTAAATAAAACAACGTGACATTTTATTTGTGGAATTAAATAAAAACAACGTGACAAAAGCCACGAAATAAATCCAGAATTTATATTTGATGCCACGACAATTATCATACTGAATTTTACTATATTTTAAACATAATCAAGCAACCGGATACAACGGTAAAATGTTCTATTCAATTCCGTAGAAAATCCTCATTAGCATGGATTCTATTAACACAGCAAAATTCGTTTACATCTTATATTGGCAAAACTCTACATTGTATATTTTCAAAATATTATTATGGCTGCGATGAAAATAAAACATATTTTGTGCAAGCAACAAGTAACGTATTACAGTGCTAAATAAGATGATCAGAAACTCAGCGCTGATATGATGTTGGAAATGTAAACTTCTCCTCGGGGGTTTCCTTCGATTTTCTGTACCAATTTTCCACCAAACGCTTTTTAAAGAAATCCTGAAAGTTGACACTGCGCCAACGAAAATCATTTAAACCTCATGCCTAGCTCAAACAGTTCCTTTTTTGTGTATATTTTTCAGTAGACAAATCTATGTCAGCTACAAATTAGCATTTGTTTATATTAGCTCACTTTAACATAACGTTTGTCTCTGACACGACTGCACCAAACTAGGCTATCAACTTGCTGTCACATTAGGCTCAATTCATTTTGAAGTTGATGCAAGAATTGACAGACAGATAAACTCTTATCGCTCGATTATTCATTCACGATTACAAAATATCCAAATCATCGACTAGAATATCTAGGGAAAGTAACGAAGAATTTACTCAAAAGTGAAAGCTGTCATCCTGTCCCAGTTAAATTAAACCGGGAGGTTTTAAAGTTATGGCGTCGTAAAATCAAAGTCACCAAGGCGGGAATTGGCCCCCCCCCCATCTGAACCACATGTGTCGTCACTAACCCGGAAGTGGAAAACAGCTGACGGAAATTTCAACAATCACATGCATCATGCATAGTAATACAATCAAACGCGCGGTGTTTACAAACATCAGCGTTAGATTACGGGTAACGAACATTTCGTTTACATCTCACCTTCCACAATATTATCAATTGAACTTTAAATTCAATTTTCAACAATTTCGTGTGATTGAGCGCTATTTCTTAGATGCATTAGTGATTTTGAATAATAAATTATCCAGCAGTTCAATTGCCTTGTAAACGATTCTTTATTTTTTATTCCTTTCTAACAGCCGTAGCCAAGTCATACAAATTACAAAGATAAGCATAATTCGCAGTAGGTATTTAAAGAAGAGCAACATTATACCTGAATAATAAAGAATAAGAAAATACAGTAGGCCTATGCGTATCAATCAATTTCTTTACTAATAAAAACTGACACAATCTTTTGTGTAGTTTTCCTACGTAAAATCGAATAATTATTTTAGAGAGTGTAATCGTCACCATCCAAATAACCACAAGATATACTAACAATGTTAATTTAACATCTGACAATATTTAAAATTTAAGTAGATATCGTCTGATATGTTCCCGGACAATACATCTAGGCCTAATATTAATTATTTTATGTAATTATTACATTGCACTATACGTGCATTTAGTCAACAAATCATAACCATCCAGAAACTATTATATTTTTTTTTATTGGCATCCAAAATTAGTGATGAAAAAGGTACTGGTAACCAAATAGTTTACCTTATTCATTGTTGAAGTTCCTCTGATCAGTCAGCGACCAAACTCACTATAAAACTATCCAAGATCACAAGCATTAACTCACACCACACAGACCAATTCGTACAAGGAATTAACTTCACAACCTTTTCTTTACAACTCACTTCAAACAGCACAAGACCCAATTAAAACACTAATAACAACCCGGCAGCACCGCACGTGCTCCTCACTTGAAGAACGCGAACAAACTACTTCTACTTCTTGTTCTTCTCATTGTCGACGCGCTTCTAGTTGCCGGAGTTGCCGCTGTTTCTTGACAGCGCCACTGGTCTATAGAATGTTTACGTTTTCTTATTGTTGTAGAACAGTTACCTCCGCGCCGACTGACCTCTGAAAGGTGCAACATTCCATCGAACCAATGACCTAGAAGACATGCATTTTGGAAATGAATTTTCTCTCAACTTTAAACTACATGTATTTAGTATGAATCTGAAGGATTTTGTTAACATTGTCTTTATCCTTACTGCTAGTAGTTTAAATTATTTACTCTATATCTATATCCTTAAAATATATATTGACGACCCAGACCCTAATAATTGTCGTCAATGACGACAATAATTAGGGTCTTGGAGAAAAAAGTGTATTAGACGTGAATTTTACAGGAAAGCTAGCTATATATTGTATACATAGTAAATACTTGAACATTTGATATAAGAATATATTATTTACATGTACAGTTAGTAAGCTTACAAAAATGTAATGTTAATTATAAATATAATGTATGTTAGGCCTACAATATAGTATATTACAATTTGGAATAAAATAGGTACTTCAGATTTATTGTACTTAAAAATTAAGGGTTTTTGTTGGATTACATTTTTAATAACACTCAAATTCAAATAGATTGATTAGTTTTGCGATTTAATAAACTGCATTTGTAGCCCTATTTTTTTAAACATTGCAGCGTATTTATTGACAAACTATTTAGGCCTAGATAAATTTAATTATTTTTACAATAAAACTTATAACTAGTGGAGTCAAGCTTCTATGACATTGGCAGTTCCATTCAGGGTGACGAAACTAGATTAAGTTTATATATTTTACAAGTTTATAGATTTAGTTATTCTTCGTTATTATTCTGTCCTGTCCAATTCCTACGGAAAAGGGACTACAAACAGATACATATATGGTGTATGTAGGCCTATGTATAGTTTTTAATATCAAGTGTTATAAAATATTATATATGAGGATAGAGAATCGTTTACTTGTAATTAAAAAGCCGTACAACTTCATCTAATTTCGAAGGAACCTTAGTTTATTATTTTTTTAATTATGTTATATCAAAAGAGCGTTAAATTTAGAGCTCCTGTGAATGACAATTTCAATTATTTCAGCAAATAAACAACTTCGCTTCATGCTATCAAACAAAAACTTTATAATATTGGTTTGTTATTTGAAAATTGTATTTGTTAGTCCAGTAATATAAATGGGTTGGTTTTCATTAGAGCCCCTTCAGTTCGTTGTACCGCAAGCTACATAGCACATATCTATTTATACTGTATGGACAGGAGTGAAGGTGCCGCGAAATTAAGATTGTTTCGTAAAACTAACTGTAGCCTGGGATTATATAAATTACTACTAGGTAGAATTTTGTACAAATAATACTATACTTGATACATTTATTGACTTAAAAGTGTGGTTAAATAATTCCGTACATACTAATGGTTACATAAATAACTGTAGATCGTCTTTGTATTATAAGTAATACCGGTAATGTATTAGAAACGGCCAGTAACTTTTTCAATTCGAATGGGTTGTAAAAAAAATATAAAAAGAACTACTGTAACAAGTAGTTTGTTACTCTCAACATATACAGTCCAAGAGAACAGTCAAACAGTCAAGCTATTGGGTATTTACATATACTCTAAATTGCCCTAGTCCCTAGTCTCAACAAATCAACAATGGTTGAAAAATACTATCTGCAGATATGTCTTTTAGTAAACATATAAAGAAGCAAGTAACGGATTTTGTTTTAAAGTATTTCGATACTGGTCCACAGGAACTGATTTTATGTAGCTTAGTCATTTTTATTTATAAAATTGTAAATGTTTTTTAAACGTAGGCCTGAACATGCCTTATACGTTTTACTTTTTCTCATTATTACGCCCTAGGATTTGTTTTATGTTCGTCTATTCAATGTATATTGTTTTTATGTATATACATTTTATATACCGGTATATATACATATATACGATCGTTGAGTTCGTATACATTCAACAAAGCATATAGGAAAATATTTAACAAAATTAACTACAAATGTAATTTTGGAACAAGAAACACCTCATTTGATTAGACAATTTTTCATGGTCAAACTCTAACACAACAAACTCCAAAGAACAATGTGGCATATACAAAATAAACTGCAGTTCATGCTGAAAATTCTACATTGGCCAAACAAGACGAAATGTCAAATTCGAAACAAAAAACATATCCAAGCCAGCAAATCAAACAACAGAACAAACACAAAAATCTACTTTTTCAGAAAATATACTATCGACGGACTACACATATAGAAATTATAATGAAAACATTACCATACCCCCTACTATAACAAATGAACCAGAATTAACATAAACTTTTTCACATAATGTATAAACACTACAAAGAAGAGAAAGACAGTAAAATAACGTCACATAGTCTATTGAACAATACAGTACCTAGTCAAGGGACAAAGTAAGTTTTACCATTGACTTTATATCTACACATCTTGAAGACTTGGTAGCGCCCAACCAAGACAACGCAATATTGAGCACAGCTGTTGGCCAACTGTATGGACAACGATGAAGGCGCTCCAATATTGTAAAATATTTCGCCTGTAGAACATAATAATCTATTTTAAATTAATCATTATTGTTTAACAGTCTTAACGAGTAATTACTGTCCAATACTAAGTAATTACAGTAGTACCTTTTCTTAAATCCTAGTGGGGTCACTGATAACGGTACCAAATAAATTCCAGAAGAATTTTAAACCGTGTTTTAACAACAAATTAGATAATACAGTACGTAAATATGTAACGAAGGAATATAAAAAAGTCTAAGAGAATTATGCAATATTTATAGCTTTCTTTAGTTGTTTGAAGAAAATCTCATTCCATTATCTCAAAAATAAATACAGCATTGCCTGACTCTTCCTAGTGAAGATAAGAAGGACAATTTAAAATCCCCTATACTATAAAAAAAAAACAATCGAACAATTAATTTACTTGATAGAACAAGGGGTGATCTGTATCATCCTTTTTCCCTGACCCTTTTTTCCGGTTTGTACTATTTAAGTGTCGTCTGTGCTCTAATGTCTGTGATTTGATTAATTCAAACAATAGTTGCTTTATATCTAGAGGACTCTTTCAAAGGTAAAGTGTTGCTGACAAAATGTTTTTAAAATGGGTTTAAATGTGAACTAGAGGTCATCCAGTGGTCGAAACTCGACCAAAAATATGTAATGTACAGACTTCTCCACTTTCACACCACGCTGTAAATAAAACATGTGGTTGAAATTTCTTCCATTTGTTTTGGTTTTCTTTTAACATTTCGTTTGTCATTTCGTCACCAGCATGGGCCCATGCAATTTTTTTTTAAATTTTCTTTTGTGCTTATTTTTTAGCCTAATTTAAATTTATAAAGGGCTGCTCATCTACAGGGAAATATCTTCCCAACAGTATGCATAGATTTTTAGTACGTAGTAAGTTTAGTAATTCCTCTTTACAGTTTAGTTTAGATGTACAGTCCACATATTTAATCTATACTATTATATAAAAATCTAATGGTGTCTGTCTGTATGTGTATTACTAGTAGGTGCAAAAAATACTGAACCAACTGGGCTTAAACTATACAAAAATATAGCTACCATACCAAGGACCATTATAGGACTATTCACATTTCGATAATGACCGTAGGCTTTGCCCCTTTGGCTTTAAAAGTTCTGAGGTGAACATTTTAAAAGTAAATATTGATTGGTCTCCATGGCTGAGATGAGAACACTAACAATGTTTGTTTACATTTGCTTTGACATTTAAATGTAAACAAGAAGAACTGCTAAACTGAATATTAATTTCACAATTTCAGACAGCTGATACAAAGAAATTAAATATAATATTTTCCATAACTATTAGGTAGGTTTATTTTAATCTAACCTTTTATCATGGATTATTTATTCTAAAACGATGTCAATGATTATAGAAAAAAAATTCTATAACCGTTGCTGTATCAACTCCGGCTCTGCTTTGGATTTTTTAAAGCGTCTAAGGGTCTAAGTTATGAAAATAATGTCATTATTGTGAGTGAAGAAACTGAAGATGGAAGGATTTGTGATATAAGATAAAAAAAAGTTAAATTAAAAAAAATGTTCATTTAAATTTAATAATTAGTATTTTTGCAATTTCAAAATTGAAATTTAAAATGTCAATAATAAATTAAAAGATATGTAAGATGAAGGTAAATCATGTATGTCAATGTTTTATTCGATTATTTGGTAAGTTTTTCTCATATCAGCCTACACAAGATTTCAAATTAATGAAAACCAAAATGGTGGTATCCACTAAGCTACCAGATTTAAAAGTGATATAACATAAACGTTTCTAAGGCTATAAAAGTCGAATTTTGTTTCTAAAAGCGTTGGTGGATGTGTAACTATTATATTCAACAGGTGAGGTGTAAAGATTAAAATGTTTCTATTTGGTGTCCTCTTCCCGTTGCAAAGCACGGGTACAACAGCTAGTTTGTTCATAAAACACGTTTATATTATTTTTATTTTTTATACTTTTTACATGTAAATTGTATAAAACAAAAAATATTTAGTCTCCAGATGAACTGTCTTGTTCTAAGAAAACTGGTTATCTACCGGGGAACCATTGATTATAACACACCAGTCATAATAATTACAAGGTCAGGAAGATGCAGCTTTAATTCAACCTCAAACCTCAATCTCAACATTGACAGTGCAAATAATGTTTGGAGAGAGTATGTTGTGCTTACTTAACATTTTATAAACATATCTTTTAACATATTTTTGTCTCCCACATTCTAGATGATTAAATGTTTACAATATCTTTCCACACTATTTTTGTAGAGCTTAAAAAAACAAATAGTATAGTACATTTAAGTGTTTTTATTAAGGTTACAAAGAAAACTAAAAAAAATGTAAATTTAAAATTGTTATGATAATCTTATGGCGAGTAACTTTTTTTATTTTCTTGTCTATTTGTTTTATTCTAATGTATTGTCACTTCAATAAAACACACTTTGTTACCTTCCCGGTGTACAGTGTACACATAGATATACAGAGGGGTGCAAAAGTAGGTATACAGTATTGAAACATTATAGAAAAATATATCCAATCACATAACAAGAAATTGATTTGAAGAGTATTAAGACACCTAAATTAACTCTTAAAAATTTTGTAATTGATAAAAATCACTCACTTCCTTGTGTGTTGTGTGTTGTTATGTGTTGTGTGTGTTGTGTGCCTGTTTGTACTGTATACCTATGTATAATAACAAGACATGAGTGTACAGTGTATACGTGTATAGTCAATAGCAAAACATATCCATATTGTTAATATTACTACACCAATGTAAATATTTCATCGACAAATAACATATAACCAGCTGGTTCCATATGGTAACTTTTAATTGTCACCTTTGTACTATTTATACAACAATCAATAATATCCAATAGCCAACGGCGTCAAGTTATACATTCCCAAAGCTAATGAAAAAAGCACATTTACACTACTCACATTCCCATTGATTATAGAAAAACCCGTAACACTAATTCACCGTCATACGCTAATTTTTGCCACCCTCTGAATTAGCCACTATCTAAATTAGACACCATCTAAATTTTCAACCTTCTTAATTAGCCACCATCTAAATTTTTCACCTTCTTAATTAGCCACCATTTAAATTAAATTAGCCACCTTTTAAATTAGCCACCATGTAAATTAGCCACCATCTGAATTCGCCATTATCTGGATTAGCCACATTGCTAATTAAACCACTATTCAAATTAGCCACCATCTAGATTTGGCACCATCTAAACTGTTTACCTTCTTAATTAGCCACCATCTGAATTAGCCACAATTTTATTTGCCACCTCCTTAATTAGCCGCCATGTGAATTAGTCACCATGTAAATTAGCCACCATCTGAATTAGCCACTATCTGAATTAGCCATTATCAGAATTAGCCACTTCTTAATTACCCACATTATGAATTAGCCACTAACTGAATTAGCCACCTTCTTATTCAGCCATTATCTGAATTAGCCACCATCTAAAATTTATACCTTCTAAATGAGCCACCATCTGAATTAAGCACCATTTAAATTTGCCACCTTCTTAATTAGCCACCATGTGATTAGGCCACCATCTGAATTTGCCACTATCCGAATTAGCCACCATTTGAATCAGCCACATTCCTAATAAACCACTATCTAAATTAGCCACCATCTAAATAAGCCACCTTCTTATAAGCCACTAACTAAATTAGCCACCATCTTAAATTGCCACCTTCTTAATTAGCCGCCATGTAAATTATATACCATGTGAATATGCCACCATCTGAATTTGCCACTATCTGTATAAGCCACAATTTGAATTAACCACATTCCTAATAAAACACTATCTAAATTAGCCACCATCTAAAATTTTTACCTTCTCAATGAGCCACCATCTGAATTAAGCACCATTTAAATTTGCCACCTTCTTAATTAGCCACCGTGTGATTAGGCCACCATCTGAATTTGCCACTATCCGAATTAGCCACCATTTGAATTAGCCACATTCCTAATAAACCACTATCTAAAAGGTTTTACCTTCTTAATTAGCCACTATCTGAATTAGCCATTATTTAAATTTGCCACCTTCTTAATGTAAATTAGCCACCATCTGAATCAGCCACTATCTGAATTAGCTACCATCTGAATCAGCCACTATCTGAATTAGCCACCATCCTTTTGAGATATGAATGTTGATGGAGTAGTATGGCTTATTTTTTAATGAAGAATATGAGCTATCATCACGCCAAAATAAAGCCCAATCCGACTAGTACTGCGATAATGAACATCACCTCTTTCAACGCGACAAAGAAACAGCTTAGTTCATAAGGTCAATGTAATAGTTGGAGGAGCTGAGTGAGGAGCCTTTAATAATGAGAAGGTTATAGATAAAACTGTCTATACTCCTTTTATCTATGATAAAACATACTCCTCAAGGGAGCTCCTTGAGGAGTATGTTTGATCTATGTTCGCCCAGTGACCCCAAAAATATTTCATTTGCCGCGACAGCCTGGTTAAGTTTCTTTTATGTAAATAGTTAAGTTTAGATTTTTAAATGTATACTGACGCAGTCTATCTGTAATCTGACATTATGCAGTCAACGACGAAGGAAACAAGTATCAAGTAAGTAAGTATAATGCGTTATTGAGCCCTAAACCACAGAAAACATACTACTAGTAGGGCCTATTTTTTCTGTAAACAAACACAAACTGACCAACTTTCACATTTAAACTAAAGTGAAAGTATGATAACATAGGAAAAGGTAGAACAAATATATTGACAAAATCAAGAATACAAGAATAACAAGTCATAAACCAACGCATTGTTACAATTTTCATAATACTTTAATACTCTTCATAATAGAAGTACTAATTGGCCGGATGGCCTTGGATAAGCCTGTTTTATTTCTCCCGCGTCTCCCCTCCACTGCCTGCAGACCGAGACCATATGATTCAACATTTTATTTTCGTTTGGATTCTGACGTAGGTAGGAAGTAGTGTTGTCGTTGGAACTGTCAAATTTACAGTTCAAAAATAAACCGCCATAGATTCGTTTAAAGCAAGCGTGTGTTCATTTTCGTAATTTATTGTGATTTGTGATACTTTTATAATGGCAGTTGATTTGACAGATATAGAGAAGATGGAAATAAAGGATGTCGGCACAAACCAGGTAAAGAATATCTCTTATTATTCACCTTAATTGTGAGCTACGCTACAAAATGTGGCACATGGAATTTTGTTTTCTACTGTAATTATTGCCTTTAACTTCTTTGGTTGTTTTACAGTAACTATTATTCAACTGTGTTTTTTGCTGTAGCCTTTGCTTGAAAAGCAAATTTTAAGTATTGTAAAAAGTATTTGATCTTTAGCAGGTCCTAGCCTAGGACAACTTTCTAAATACACGTACAAAGTATGTACCTATGCCTTTTAGGTCAAGTTAAAGAAAGGAATATAGGGTAAGACATAATAGTCATACTTATGTTTAAGCTATTGCTTTTATGATTCAAACCTTATATAATTTACTCCACCCAATTGCCTTCACTATTCTATGAGCCTTGGCCTTCAAGGCTAAATAAAAGCACGCAAACAATGTGAATATTGTTTGCGAACCTCTAACACGGATTAAAGAGTAACTTAGATACTTTTTGTCTAAGTTACTCTTTATTCAGTGTATCTATTAAGTTACTCTTTTTACACCATCATTCTAGTATTAACTTACATGTAGCCTACAGTACGGTAACTTACTAAGTTAAACTTATTGGTTATGTTCTGGTTATTGCCTTGGTTAATGGGTCTACTGTACAAGGCATCGATTGTAGGTACTTAACATTGCTCAATTAGAAATGTATTCTACTACCGGTACGCTAGGCTTAAAGGCTAGAAGCACAGACAAGGGAATTAAGTAGTCAATGCTAGAAGTAAATCTGAGTTTTGTTTTGTTGTGTACCTATTTTTTTCTCCAGATTAACTTATAATATAGCTTACTATAAGTTAGTCGGGTCGGGAGTTTGATATTTGTTATCCTTTTCTTCTGTCTTAATTGGATGGTAGTCCTAGTGGACGCCATAATGAGTAGGCTACCTAGCTTAAGAAAAATATACTAAGTTACAGGAAGCCTATTAACTTTGCTTTTCAAATGCAAGTGTTTAGTTAGGATTGACAAGGCACTAATCCACAAGCACCTAATTGAGTTGGCCTAACTTAGATAAGTATTGTTTAGTTGGGAATTAACTTGATACGCAACGCCATAGTACCGATTCTGACCTTGTACATGTAGATAGCAAGGCAGAATATTAAATGATGGTGTAGGAAATCTGTTTAGTAAATAAATTAGGCTGTTGTTTTATGATTATTTTTGCAGTCCATTAAGCACTATTGAACCCCATGAATAGAAGAGGACCATCAATAATTTATATACTACCTCACCTGATTCTAATTAGTCACGTTTTAAAATTCTATCACCACCTTTAACGTAAACTAATCCCAAACTAACTTTAAAAAATGCTCCTTAAGGAAAAAATAGTAAGAATGACCAGACAGTAAATACAACAGTAGACCTACAGTGAACGGACATGAAACAGCTAGGGGAGATTCGACTTCAATTCGGGTGTGATGTTAGCATAGTGGTTAGCGTCTCAGACTTTGATGGGTTTTGAATTTACATTGGGCATTGCCTCCTGTAAAAATGCCTCCATTAACTTATAGACAATAAGGGCAAAAACAATAAGAGATTGAAAAAACTACATTTTATGCTAGAAAAAATAACAAATGATAGGCTAGCCTACCGTAGGCCTACTAGAATATAAGGTACCGTATTAAAATCTTTAAAATCTTCATTTTTTCATGTTAAGCCCCATTACTATGTGTTACTTATTCGATAAGAGAAACAAAAGACTTTTTATTTTGAAATTACAGATGGAAACGTTGGAGAATGTGTGGAAAGACAAGACCTGCGTGATAATATTCTTCCGTCGCTGGGGATGTTTATACTGCAGACTTTGGGCCAAGGAAGTCAGCCAAATTGCCAACATTCTCAGCAACAACAACATAAGACTTATTGGAGTGGGACCCGAACAACTGGGTGTTGAAGAATTCAAAGAGGGGAAATTTTTTGATGGAGGTAAGGAATGTTACGGTTTTATAACCAAAAACCTCCTCACAAATGCGGGGTCTTCTCAAGATAATAACTTATCAGTTTGAAAATGTGAACTCAAATTGAATAAGCTAACCATATAAAAGTATTTTTAGTTGAATACCAATTATTTAACTTTACTGTATTCTGTTAATTCTTTGACATATTAAACTAGGCCAATCTCGGCCATACTAAATTGTTTATTTAGCAATTGAACTCGTGGTCAAATGAAATTGAATTAAAACCTTGATCTGTTCACAGTTGCTACTGTATTAAAGAAGTGGCTGACATTTAAAAGTAAAACATAAAATGTAACAAAAATCTTTGTAGGGAATATAAGTAAAACCGTGTGTAACTGTTGCTACAAGAATAATAAGCATAAATTAAAATGATCAAGTAGGTAATTAGTGTACTGTTGCTTTAGATTATTCAGCGGTAAATTAAGATAGTGAAAAACCTGGAGTATTATTTCAAGCATCATATCCTGTAATTGGTGAATTTGTAAATTTATTTTCAGAACTGTTTGTTGATGTTGACAAGAAGGTTTATTCAAAAATTGGGTTCAAGAGATACAACTATCTCAGCATCTTGTGGTATATCATGGGAAGAGTTGGAAGAAGTGCCTACAACAGAGTAAGTATCACCTTTACAAGTTTTCTGCTACTAAGCTTTTACAGTTTTTTTCCTAAAAATTTTAGATTTAGGGACTACTTGAGTAATAGTCCAACAAGGCAAAAGAGACACAACAACTTAAACCCTAAAACACAAATTAAAAAATATTGAACTGTCACTGACAGCATTTTCAACCAAGGATTGAGTTGGGCAAGTAAATTAATCCTGCTATCCTAAAAAATCGTAGATTCTAAGGCTTGAACCCAAAGTTAAGTCCAAATCTTGCACCTTATGTTACACAAATTTAAGATCACAGTAGACATTATTTTGGTCCTAATTTGGTTGTTTTAAAATTAATATGGCCATCAAGCTTCCGTTACTGCCAATAGAGCTAGTTCAAATTTATTCTTTCCTTAATCCACTGCCATTGTAGCCACTTCACACTACTTTGTGGCACATAGTCTCGTCATAGGAGTCGCAAACAAGAGAAAATCGATACACTCTTCAAGTTTATCACAATCTTATAGTATAGATGATTACCGGTAAGTGAAGAACACGGGTGCTGGTTTCAAATAATATAAACTAGCTTGCCTATCAGCGACAACAGCTCCTAGGGGCACTAATTTACTAACAAACCTTGTACCTTGACGATATTAGCAAAAAAGTGATCCAGTTAAATATTTAAGACTCTAACAAAATTCCATCTGCTATAGGGAAAGGCGGCAAACATCCCATGGAACCTACAAGGCGACGGGTTGCAGAACGGAGGTTGTCTGATCGTAGAGAAGGGTGGACGCATCCTACACAGCTACCGACAAGACGGAGCGGCCGATCAGCTGAGCAATGACAAGATACTGGAGGTACTGGACCTTACTGCGGAGATACGGCCTCGGCTGGAGACTGACCTGGACGCAGACAGTAAGAGCGAGAGCAGTGACAGGAACTAACCAATGCAGGAACACCCAACTTTCACCAAAGATCACTAGCACACTTCCGGTGGACATTTCTTCCATCTACACATGCATAAGCTCAGGGAATTTTAATAGAATCATTGACGTTGAAGGTGTGATTTTGTTGAAACTGCACCTGCATTTTACAAATTTTACAAATCGTATTCTTGAAGCTTCCCTCAAAAAATATTTTCTGTTTTCTCATTTAATTATGGCTAAACATGAAGAAATGTCAATTTTAAAGGCAAGTAGGAAGACATGTGAAGACTTTTTCTAATGGTATGCCTAAATATTTTATTGGATTCTATATTGGAGGCGGTTTCAAGGGAAACTATTGTAAGATCAGTTATTCTCTGTCTGGTATATATTGAAGATTTTATCATGAGCAGCAACGTATTTTGTATGAAATCCTTACAGAAGATTGTCAACTTTTCAAGTGTAAGCCATTTAGAGCCTTGATATGATATTTGAGGAAAAATTATAACATACAATTTAAAGCTACAAAAAAATTAAAATTCATAGCCAATAACCAGTAGTTTACACTACCCAACGTTGAACAGAAGTTTTTTTCATAATTTATATATTACCTCAAATATAAAAAGCTTACTAAAAGACTTTGATTCCTACTAAGCTACGATAGTAATTACTGTAGCCGTACCCGTACCCATACAACTAGCCCAAGGAGATGTGAAATCTGCTGGCGTAATAAAGTTTAACTATAGTTCTCTTTTCCTTTGTGGTTCCTAGACAATTTAGGTTCTAGCTTTGACTATTAATGGATCTACTCAAGAAAGATTTCCTGTTTTTTTTCCTCTTGTTACTTCATATTTTTCGAATATCAGGATCGCACCCCACACCATTTCTATACCAAAATATAGTTCAGGTTTTTTCTTTATAACTGTTTTATATGAATATTCTTTTGTACTTATTTTTAGTACCTACAATATTTCTCTCATATCAGGACTAACGTTTTTCTCACAAACCGGTTATTCCTAATGCATTTCTTTGTTTCTTGTCCAGTTTTGTGCTGCAACTTATAGATCATTTTATTGTTGTTGTAGAATTATTTCCAGTATTCAACTTTGTAGCTATCTAAAACGGTGCCTGTCAAACCTATCCGAAAGGATTTATAAAGATGTTTCACAGTCGTTTGACTAGGCTTCAGTTTTAGCTTAAGAAGAAAGAACATTAATAATTTAATATAAATCTAAATTATGTAAAAACCACAATCCCTTAATTGTCATAATGCAAAGGTTCTTTTTGGGATGCAGTGATTGGTTTTGTTATAAAAAAGCGTCAATACTATTTTTAAGTTTAGAACACCTCTAAGATAGTTTAGAACAGCTACCTGGACGGTACTTAACATAACTTAACTTAATATTGTTAAGTTAACAATATTCTTATAAGAACTATTTTATAAGGTAATGTTCTTCGACTTCCTTTGTAACATTAAAACTAACATTTCCATATAACTAAGTGAATTTGTGATTTTTAACAAAGCTATTGTGATGTCATTGCTCAATTCTAATTGTTATGTCAACTAATGCATTTATTTTAAGAACATTAACATGATTTGTTATGTTTTCTAACATAAAATGTTATTTTTTCAAACTCACGTGCTTTTTTCTGATTCCTATTTCCAACTAGGCAGCAATATAGACAACACACAAAAGGAAATCTGTGAAGAAACAGATCCAAAATTTCAATAAAGGAATGAGTAGGCTTTGTACAAAGCACTGTAAAGAGTTTCCTAGCATATAGTTATCTAGGGTATTATTTATCTTTTTTTTTGTTCGTTGTGGTGCTGTGGTTAAGTTGTCCCTGGTTGAAAAATTTTATCAGCACAGTGACATTTGGAGTCAATTATAGACAAATTTGCCCATCTGGACATTAAGCACACTCGCAGCTGGATGTGAAGGTTAGTTTTCGATTAACAAAACTACCTTCTTTGACAAAATGTCTTAAGCCTAAATATGTTTTCATACTTCAAGCACTAAAGCTAATCAAACCATTCTTTAACAATTTTCGGTTGAAATAATGAACTAGTATGCCTAAATTGTCCCCGTGAATTAAATCAGTTTCTTCGTTTCAGTGATTAAAAGAAGCCTAAAAATGTGACTACCCTCCCAGCGTTGCTGTATGGAAATATTAATTTGTACCTTGCTCTTTTGAGTCCTGCCGCTTCCTACTAATGGTTATGATCACTTTCAATTGCTAAATTACAAGTGGGAAGGCACTTCCTAAAAAGTTCTGATTCATACGTTAATAAATTTGTTTGTATGGCAGATCCTCAGACAACAAAAAATCATGTCGAAAATCATCAGCTGCTTGTTGATTACAACTCAGTTTCTGTTATGCAGACCAATCTCTTTAATCTCATTACCTTTGTCAAAACCTTGGATAAAACGCACTCCTTTAGTAGATTTCCATCCTTATGGAACAGCTGAACCCAATTTTATTGTTAGTTCTGTACGTTGCACTGTAGAGATCGAGGTTTACAATTTGCTTTTGTTATTTAAAACCTCGTCTAACCAAATTAAACAATCTAATCATAAACAATAACCAGGCCCACTTTTATAAACGGGCAGACTGGGCATATGCCCAGGGGCGCCGGTGGTTGGGGGGCGCCCTGAACCACCGCCCGCACTAGGAAAAATAGGGTTTTATCAGCCGGGATTTCAAAAATAAAATGGGTGATTTCAACTTCTAGTTAAGTGATTTTCCCTTATTGCAAAAGTAAATAAACACAACAAAATTGAAAATACTCGACCTTCAGGTTATACCTCGTGTAGTCAGGGAAAGGCAGGCAGCAGTGTGAACCGGGCGCACTCACTATACTATACTATAAGAGGCAGGGAGGCCTGTATGGTGGAAGGAAAATACATAGGTGTGCTATTCCCATCATATGCTGACGTCACTCAGATTGCAAACACCATTTTACCATTTAGAAAAATTGTAAAACAATAACAATCAAATCAAAACAAATATATACTTATATGGCAATACATCAGCTGATTATTTGTTTGCAATTTGGTTGACGTCAGCAAATTACGGGAATAGCATGTAGGCCAGCTTTAGTCTACAGGCCTTGAGGCCTACGGTTGACGTGCCCCTCCTCTCCCTCCCAGTCCCATCCCCATCCCCACAAGTCACAACTACCAACTACCGTGCGGCGCCAGTCCAGTACAGTAGTACTCCTCCCTCAGTAGTCAGTAGGTTGTGTTCGTGTTGTGCCTGCTGCACATAGTGCGTGGAACAAGCAACATATTACCTATTAATCTTTCACTTCCGGAGACCAGCACCATACTTTGGGAATCGACTAAATACATGTAAAAGAGTGAAAATCAGCCGGGAGGCAAGCTTAAAAATAATTAGGTCACGGGCAGTGACGTCATCAAAATGGCCGCTCAGCCAATAACAATAATGTCGCATATCTCGTAAACCGCGTAACCGATTTTGACGTATGACATCTTATTTGAAAGGTCTAATCATTATCTATAAAAAAGGTTATTACACCTTTAGCGGTTAAACCAACGGTTTCTTTGTATTTTAGAAAATATTAATTTTTTACGCCCCACAAAATGGATTTTTGCATTTATCATTTGGAAAAATTAAAATAATCAAAATTTACTTTCCACCGTTGAATCCAGCTTTAAAAGATGAACAATTTAGTATTTTGAATCATCACTCTATGTATATTGGTTACCGAGATATTGTAAGTAGTAAACACAGATCACTCTGTCCCCCATGTTATCCTTATGGGAAAAATAACATTCTATATCTCAGTTATTTTTTAACGTATCTTAATACAACTTGGTATGTGATTTCACCTAGTTGAGCTACTTGATAATGACTATAAAATATTTATATTTTACATTTACAGCAAACCTACATACTCATTTCCCATGTTATTCGTATCGCGAATTTTTATGCATGATTATTTATGAACATATGTTGACAAAAACTTGACGTTGAGCTTAATTTTAATTAATTATCTAAGCATTTGAAATTCACTGAGTATGCAGGTCTACTGCAACGGGGGTTTTATAAATATTAGTAATTTTATTTTGGGAAATATTTTTTTCCTGGGTTGGTCAGACTGATAACCGACAAGATATCTGATAGCAATTTGTCGCAATTGTTGAATAAGAAACGTGATAAAATCCTTATTAACGTGTTGTTTTTGTTCTTTTGAGTTTACATTTTTCTAATAATTTTCATATAGGGTTTGACGTCTTTTGTGCTTTTTAAAACATAGTTATTGATCGTTTAGATTTTTAAAGTGGTTACCTGAAGAATATAATATTCATAGTATTTTTTTTTTGGTAAAAATCTTTTGGGCTTTTCAAAACATAGTTATGAATTGTTTTTATGTGGCTACCCTACCTGAAGAATAGCGCATTTCAGGCTTTGGACTGTGGATTCCTCACTTAAACATATTATTACATATCATTAGACTGTTTATTAATCTTTGTATTTAACTGAAGAATAGTATGAAATACGGCTTGGCGTCTCTGTTATTTCACTTTAACAAATTAAAAAATTATAATACATGAAGCCGTTTTTGTTAACACTACTCCTCCCTTATTTGTGGACCAATTTCAACGTTTGAGGTGTCAAAATATTTGTCTCAATTTCTAAGAAAAAACCCACGCCTTGATATTATATGCTTGGATGAGAATCTCCCCCAGACAAATTCCGAAAATAATTCAGACGGAGGAACGAACTATTTCAAGGCAAGATTAAGCTGCACTCCATTTGATATAAAATCCACCTGCAAAATACTAAAAACTTGCATACTCAGGGAATTTCAAATACTTCGATAATTAATTAAAATTACGCTTAACGTCAAGTTTTGACAGCATATGTTGTAATGAAGTGTTTAAGAAGGTCAAGGTTGGGTGATGTAATATGGGCTAAAACACCAAAGCACCGAGGAATGGTGCTCAGTGACCCGAGGGAAAAGTACTGAGGGAAAGTGATTAGGGACAAGTGCCCAGTACTTTCGGCCGGGGGCGGATACTGGGTACTTACCCCAACTCTCCAAGCATCTTACGGGTTACGACCCTATATAAGGAGCATTCTCGGGGGACTTCGACATGTTGGACCTCCGGGCCCGACCCCGTCGGTAGGGGCCACCGGTGGGGTATGCACTAGAAGCGTTTTGAGCCCCGGCACCCCCGCACTAGAGGCGTGCTGAGCCCGGTACACCCCAGTACTAGAGGCGTGCTGAGCCCTGGAACCCCAGTACTAGAGACGCCCAGTAATGGTCAACATTGACCATTGTTTAAATAAGTGTTAAGTTTTTTATTTTAGCAGTACCTATGTATTTTATTTTATGTGCAAGTTAGTTTTGTATATGTTGTACATATGGAGGTAGACTATTATGTAATTTGTACAATAAAGCACTTTTTTCATTTCATTTCATTTCCCAGTACTAGAGGCGGGCTGAGCCCTGACACCCCAGTGCTAGAGGCGTGCTGAGCCCGGTACACCCCAGCACTAGAATCGTGTTGAGCCCCGGCACCCCCGCAGTGGAGGCGTGTTAAACCCCGGCACCCCAGTACTAGAGGCGTGCTGAGCCCGGTACACCTCGCACTAGAGGCGTGTTGAGCCCCGGCATCCGTTTTATTTCAGTTTAAGTCCCCGGTGGCCAAAAAAGCTGCCTCCCGGGACCATGGTTCCGTCTGGAGGGGGATGAAGAGGCACACCTCCACTATTTAAGAAGAGAAAGAGTTGTCTGGGAGAGACGGCAGTCTGCATCTGCCAACGGAACGGGCAACACCGACGGTAGCTGCTGCGTTTGGGATAGTAACCCACTCAGTATTTTCCGAGACGGAGCCAGTTGAGGACTGCAGGAGCCGTGTCGATAGGATTAGCCGACGGGACAGCGTCAGGAAGGAGAACCAACGTGGGGAACCCAGGATAGCAAAACAGGACAGAGGGGTCTCGAGCCGATCGACCAAGAGGTCAAGGGACCGCCTAATAGATTGCGCTGGTCTATGGGGTTTCGAAGTAGAAGTCATTTGTCAATAGTTTTTGTAAACAGTTCTGAGAATAATAAATGTATCATATAATTCCTACAAGTGTTCAGTAAATCTGAGTCCTGAAAACTCCCGAAAAGGTCTAAAGCTGTAAAGTAAGGAAAAGCTGAGAAAGTACGGTACAATGTTCATAAATAATCATGCATAAATATTTGCCATATGAATAATATGGGAAATGAGTATGTAGGTTTGCTGCTATGTAAATGTAAAATATAAATATTTTATAGTCATTATCAAGTAGCTCAACTAGGTTAAACCACATACCAAGTTCTATTAAGATACGTTAAAAAATAACTGAGATAAAGTATGTTATTTTTCCCATAAGAATAACATAGAGGACAGAGTGTTCTGTGTTTACCACTTACAATATCTCGGTAACCAATATACATAGAGTGATGATTCAAAATACTAAATTGTTCATCTTTTAAAGCTGGATTCAACGGTGGAAAGTAAATTTTGATTATTTTAATTTTTCCAAATGATAAATGCAAAAATCCATTTTGTGGGGCGTAAAAAATTAATATTTTCTAAAATACAAAGAAACCGTTGGTTTAACCGCTAAAGGTGTAATAACCTTTTTTATAGATAATGATTAGACCTTTCAAATAAGATGTCATACGTCAAAATCGGTTACGCGGTTTACGAGATATGCGACATTATTGTTATTGGCTGAGCGGCCATTTTGATGACGTCACTGCCCGTGACCTAATTATTTTAAAGCTTGCCTCCCGGCTGATTTTCACTCTTTCACATGTATTTAGTCGATTCCCAAAGTATGGTGCTGGTCTCCGGAAGTGAAAGATTTTTACACTTGTTCCACGCACTAACAGTCGTCAAATCAGTCACAACACAATCTAAACTGTGACAGTCACTAGTCAGAGTTGACACTCAAGCTGCAGTTAGTGAACCAGTAATAAATAAATAGAGAAGTGTTGATACAAGTAAGTAGGCCTATAAACAGTGAAAAATGCATAAAAAACCTAGTGCAGCCGAAAGTGGTTGGCTGTTGGCTCAAAGAAAACAAACTCAAGAAGCAGTTTTAAAGAAAGTGAAATGTATTAACCAGTATTTCCATTGATACGGAATTAAAACTCCCTCCCGAAACAAAACTGGTAAAAAACACGCTAATGTATAAATATATATATGCATAGGCCTATAGTAGAACCATGGAAAAAACATACTCCTTTAGTGGAATCTCGTTCAATATGTGTGTAATACAATGAACTGCACTCTGTACTGTACTGAACAGTAATCAAATCACTGCGTAGTGCATTAAGCTATTGGCGCAGGGCAAGAGGCATTTGCATAGCAACTACTGTCAAGTTCATTGCACTCGCCCCAACCCCCAACTCACATGCAGTGAATTTCGGCGAACTGATGAGTCAACCGCCCTTCCCTCTTCCCCTCCCTACACTGCTGTGGTCAAAACCTTTATAGTTATATATATATATATATATGAGGGGGGCGCTGCTTTTGGGTTTGCCCAGGGCGCCACTGACCCTTAACGCGGCCCTGACAATAACTGGTAGCTCCTAGTTATATAACCAAACAGAAAGCACAAATCATGAAAATACCTTAAAATAATAGAAACAAAATGTTGTCTACACTAGCGATCAGTGTCGACCTACATGAACTGGACACAAAAAACGAGCTTCGAAATTTACAATGGGATGAGAAGTCTGGTCAATACAATGTAACCAACTGAACAATGCTTCAAAATTGCCTTCAATCTTTAACAAATCAAAGATTTTTGCTTTCGCTGCAATGGTAGGACCAGACACAGATTACCCTCACTTAGCACCTAAGCTAATCATTATGTTACTGTATTGCCAAACCAAGATCACATAAGTGGACTTTTCCAGTGTTTTCTTCTTTCATCCCAGAAGCACTGTCTGACATTAATGCAAAGGCCAACAGTTGGGACTGGCGAACAAACACAAAACAGGATTGATCTAACACTTGCTGACAACTGACTCATCATACGCTCATATTTGGGTTAAAATACGCACATAGTGGCGTCCCCATCTTAACAAATTGATACATAATTTGCCTCCAGGATTGATTAATTGACATAAAATAAGGTTACTAACCTGTTGTCAATCAATCCTATGTTTATCAAGATGACTATAGTTTCGGGGTTAAAACCCCACTTTAAAATCTTCAGTCGTCAAATTGCCAAACATAATATCTTCTTGCACTTGCCGTTGTCAATAATCACACATAAACATACTTGGAAACCTTTAGATTTACAAAAAGTTATGTACATGCACGCAAGGCTGGCCAAGGAAAAAACCCCTCCTTGAAAATGGGGTTTTAACTCCAAAACTATATTCATCACAACACAACAAATATAGGATTGATTGACAACAGGTTAGTAACCTTATTTTATGTCAACAAATTGATTGATTGAGGGGAAGATGTAGAGGTTAACTGACAAAGGGGGTCATGCCACTCACACACCAAGTTCTTCAAGGTCGTCAAATTTAAAAAATCGTTTTGCGGCACTCAAAGAATCAGGGCACTATATTGTATGTTCGCTTTATCTCTATTAACACCCCAATGCTCACATCAACTTTCCCACTAATGTAGAAACACTTTCATTGCTAGTAAACTCCAGAACTGGTGATGCTCATATCTTGTGTTGTAGAGCCCTGATAAGAAATTAATTATATATACCAATGTTTATAAGGATAACCGGATAAAAACTCATAAGATGATGACATGTCATTTATTAAGACTATAGATAAAACAACATATAAAACTACCTTAATTAAGTACGTAAGGATTTTTGTTAAGTACTAGAGTACCGTATACATACTTTTATCTCAGAGGACCAGAGTACAGGAGTTTAAAAATATGCCCAATACTGATATAACAAAACCAAGAGTCAAACCTCATGATGTTAAATCAAAATGTAATCGTTACAACTAACTTGTTTCTGTCATTATTATACCATTGTGGATAAAAACAAACTATTCATTTCCCTCTCTCAAATAATTAATAAATAAATAGGATATTTTTTTATCTTTAAATTAAACTTGCCTAGTATGTTATTAAAAAGTTCTAGATTAAGTGTCATTTATTTATATCATTGGATTCCAAGTTCAAAATTTATAATTTTTATCAACATTCTGAAATCAAAACAAAGAAATCATAAGATCTATCCCGCTAAAGGCATAGTGCTTTTACTCGAAATTTTTGTTTGTTTAAAGATTCAAAATTTATAGTTTCGACCATCACTAAAATACAAGTATAAACATCACAGTTGTGTCATTTAGGGTCTTTATTTGCATTTCTTTGAGCTCCGGAGCTCTTAATTTTCTCTAATTGACTATAACTGTTATAAAAAAATCCTTAATCAGCCAATTGGCGCTTTCTTAAAACTTAACCTAAAGTAAGTACTGTACACAATGTACTAACAATAGTGTTACGTTACTATCCCTGATTCTTTAGCCATGCTGTAGAATATAGTGTTTGGATCTTGTAAAAGTTTGTTCGGTGAATCATACTCCTTCACTTTACCTTTGTCCAGCACAAGAATCCTGCAACATATTTATACAGAATATGTGATGATAGTTACTATTTAGATCAGAATAGTTATTTGTGCAACTAGTGAGAAAAGTGAGCAATTGACTCACTCGAGAGAAATCCTTATTCACGAGCCGTAGGCGAGTGAGGAATGGTTTCTCGAGTGAGGCAATTGTACTTTGAACTCGAGTTGCACATTATACTTTTCCTACAGTTACCATAAAACAAATAAATTGGTGAAGAAACATAACCTATTTTTACACTGAAGTGAACTTTTAATATAACATTTAACGTGAAGTGACAAATACAACAGTACAACAGCTGACCAGCTGATTTACAGCCAGTGCTGCCAACGTGTTTCACGCGCATACGACGTTGCCTGCATGATACGCGCTCACTATTTTGTGCCTTCACATTGCAAATCTGGAGTGAGACAAAGTAATTAGAGTGAGACAATGTTAACATTGTCTCACTGATGAGCGAATTGGCCACTTTGCTTTCTCAAATCAGTGAGAGAACATGTACATTGTTAGGTAACTGTAGGAAAAATGATTTCCAATCATTTTAGTTAATCTTTTGGCTACGGTTTGATAAAAATTGCACTCCAATAATATTTATTTATGATATTTTACACTGTTAAAAAAACATTAGAAAATTTATTCCTATATATCATTTAATGAAAAACTTATTTAATCACCGTCTAGAGGCAATAATAAATAAACAGGAAAATCAGCAGTACTTAATTTATAAAATGTAAGGTATAGAAAGCAACAACTATTGGAAACTTGATACTTACATCCTACATTATTTCTCTAATTATTCTATCTTCAGATAATAGAGTCATAAAACTCTTTGAAGACACAAGTACAGCCGAAAAGGTGGGGAAGTTTAAAAATTTGTGTTAAAAATACTTAAATATATCGTCAGTAAAAAAATATAAACCGGAGGGAGGGGTCCCCAAAATGCCTGTGGCTTTACAAACCAAGCCTTGGAGACAAGTTTTAGCTTACTATGAATAGTTTATATCTCATTGAAATTAGAAATGAATAGTTTTCGAGGATATTCCATCTATTCAAGCCCACCTGTCATAGTCCATGATGGTATGAAGCCTATGTGCAATGGTGAGTATGGTGCAGTCCTTAAACTCCCTGCGGATGGTTTTTTGTATAATGTCATCCGTCTCCAAGTCCACCGCAGCCGTCGCTTCGTCCAGCACCAACACTCGACTCTTCCGTAGCAACGCTCGTCCCAGACAGATCAGCTGTTTCTGACCCACACTGTGACAATATGGTTAGTGAGCAAACAATAAGATTTTAAATAAGAAAGCTAGGTTTCCAATTTGTAAAATGTGATTGAAGTAAAATAAAATGTTAGACAATACCTGAGGTTTTCCCCGCCTTCACTGACAAGATGATTCAACCCTGAGGGGAGAGAGGTGACAAACGACTTGAGGTTGGAGAGTTCCAAGGCTTTCCAGATGGTTTGGTCTGAGGCCAAGTCAAATGGATCCAAATTGTTGCGTAGAGTTCCCGAGAACAACACAGGGTCCTGGTACAAATTGTAAACAATTGATTGAAAAATTTGTTTAAATTGAAATACCCGTATCTTCTCAAGCGGGCATTAAGTGCCACTAAGAAAATCTAATCATAAGCACAGAGTTGCAGTTAGCTAATTTTATAAACTAGTTGTAGTATAGGCCTACTACTCCTTGTTCTGATGATTCGTATAGCTACCTTCGTAATACTCACACAGGTGTTTTTTTTTTATGTATTCACAATCAATTTGTTAAGAGCTGTTTGGTACATATGGATATTTTTGATTTACTGTAGTAGCTTCATAATTTCTCACACTATGTAATGTGAAAACACATCTTCCCATTTTTATGAACTTCTGATGGTGTTTTTGTTTTTAGACCGGTAAGGGTCCAATCCCAAGGTATCAGAACAAAAAGGAGGTCTACTGTAGTGGTTAGCACCTCAGACTTTGGTGCTGGAGGGAGGATTACGAATTCCAACATATCCACAACAAATTTAATGGGTTTGGATTGCTTAGGAAGTAGAAGATAATAACCTGATTGGATATGAATTGTGTAAAATCATGAAAATGCTTGAAAAACCCCACCTGAGGTATGATGGTCAGGCGACCTCGTAGGTCGTGCAGCCCGACAGCAGCAATGTTCTTCCCATCAATACAGATGGCACCACCAGCGGCCTCCAGTATACGGAACAGAGCCAGAGTAAGTGAGGACTTGCCAGCTCCAGTACGCCCCACAATACCCACCTGTCAGGGTTATTACAATATTGTAGCTATTTTTTTCAAAAATCTCCATTTTACTTTTAACTTAACCTACAATTTTCTTCTAACCAACAAAAAGTTATTTTAAACTATTAACCTTAGTGTGATTCTAAAGAAATTGTGTTATACCTAATACGTTAGTTTTTGGTCCATATTTTGTTTTTGAGCCAAGTTTAATTAATCAGACTACTAACACTAAAATTTTGTTAAACAATTAAAGTTATGTCATTCGGACAGTTAATGGAAAAAATGCTGTTTTGATTTCTTTAGGTAAAAGTGGTGAAAAATTACCAAAATAAATATATATCCTTTGCAGGGGGTTTGATAAGTTGGTGTTCACAAGTTTTAAATAGAATATAGCATAGAATACAAGAATATAGAATATAGCATACAAGCATAGAATATTTTATAAATGGCAAGCTACTTGTGTTGGTATTTGCCGATTTTTTTCCAGAGGTGCTCACACCCTTTGCTTTATTCCAAACTTTGCAAGAAGTTTGTTTATTGCGTTGATGGATATGTAATGACTGTTAGAAGCGGGAAACAACGATCACTTATGTTAGCGAATGACGAGTAGACGTCATCTATCCATACTAGTTTTGTGATTCAACAACTGCTCAGTGCATGCCGCATTGTCTAAGTGTATAACAGCCATATAGTAGAATATTTAGCATAGTGGCGAAAGTTGTTCTGAAAAGCTGGTGTACCAGAGAAACGCTTAATAAAGACATTTTTATTATTTATTTATTTATGTGGACCTGTCTTAAATTTAAGGAAAAATTCAAATAGATAATGAAACGATAATATATGTTGTACTTTTACTTTTAGACATTATCACAAATTATAAATTAGGCAAATGTGATTTGTAGCCAGGCTTCTGGAAAGTCTAAACAGTAAATGGAAGGTTTATTCGTTTATTGTTTCTTACTTTTAGATGATTTATGCTTTCAATGTATCTCAAAGAAGTCAAGTATGGCAGAATTGTAATTATTGTCTTTTACTGGTCCACTAAACAATTATTTATACAGAATAGAGTAGTAAAGATTGTTAAAATCATTGAGCAGACCTACATCTTGAAACCTCATCCAACCACCTGGCAGCTCATTCTGCAGGGTGTTGCAAGAATGATAAGACTGATACTCTTTGGTAATGTTGTGTGATGTGTTGTGTACCAACCTTCTCTCCGGGCAATATGGTGAAGGTGACTCCGGACAAAACAAGTTCCAGACCTTCCCTGTACCGGACTCTGTAGTCCCGGAACTCTATTTGGCCCTGGTCTGGCCATGAGGCTTCAGGAACAGGCTCCACTGTCCAGGCAGCCTCCTACAACAAGACAACAGTCATGTTTCAATACGTATGTTAGTGTTCAGTGGAGGCTGAGGCTGGGGGGTTAGAAAAAAATCTAGATGTGGGGGGAGGGGAGAGTGAAAGTAGTTTTTTAAATGTAATGGTGACAATCTTCCGAGTTTGCAGAGGGATCATTTTCGTCTTCATGACTGTGGCGAAATCATAAACGTCTCCTGTGATCCGGGAGAAATCGTAGACACCTTTGGCGGTTTCGGAGAGTTTTTCGGGGTCTTCTACCAAGATTGCGGTGAAATTGTGATTTTCAATCTTCAGACACATCTTGACACAAAATTTTGTCCCCCAATCAGATTATAGGTGAAAATCTTTTTCAAAAGAAAAAAATTCCTTTGAAGTTCCAAGTGAGGCTCCCGTCAACTCTGTCTTTCGGTACTTGTAAATTGACACGTAAATTTAACACACACACACATTATCCTTCGAATGCATTTAAGGATCCATTTATTGGTGAGAACAAGGGTACATTTACTGTCTTATGTATTGAAATGAAAATTATGCATACAATGCATTGTGATGGGGTACTGACCAACCTCACTCTTTTACTGTGGGGAATCAACCATACAATTACATTTCTTTTCCTCTAGAGCTTTTGTTTATCGGCAGGAGAGGGGCTCTCTAAATCTCTTAACCAACCAAATATTCCTCTAAAACCTTATCCAAAGTGTCCCTTCTTATACAACCTTAAGTTGAAAAAATCTTAAGTTCTAGGTATTAAGGTATATTTCAGCATTCATTGAAGAAATGAAATGAAAAATGTCTTTATTTAAGAGGCGAAATTAGGACTAGCAAGTCCTCTCTTCCACTTAACCTCTAAAACATAAATAAAACTATCTTTTATAAACACTTTATTAATAAAATTAAATAATCTAAAGTACCATATTATAAACATGTTGAAATTAAATTTACTAATCCTAAAAAGTCCATTCACACAAGCCGCCAACAACCCGCCACACCAGCTCCAGAGACTCATTCATACCTGCTGCTCAAAATCATAGATTTTATCTCTGCCCCAAACCTTGCATGGTTCTCTATGGATTTTATGTTGTCAGGAATAAAATTCCACATTCCAATTGCAGATACTAAGAAAGATTTATTAAAAACTGTTGACCGGTGAATTGTGAAGATGTATGTAGAAACCAACAGTTAGCATTTCTAGATAGCGTTTTGAATGGAGATCATGACGATATGTGTTTGGTTTTGACACATCACTAGTGTTGAGCATCAGCTTCACTCAACCATAGCATGATTGGGTATGGGCGAAAATATGAAGAGAATATTTAATCCCTCATACAGACCTGGGATATCTGGGTGTACTCCTTGATCCTCTCCACAGCCACCATGTTCGTTTCCACATCAGCTGTGGTCCGGGTGAAAAAGTTAAGGGATGAGGTTACCTAAACAAGGTACAACATTCTGTAAAACATTCTATACTTGTGTACTTTTGTGCATTACAGTGGTTCCTCAATATCAAGTATCTCATTGGGATGATCAAATATAGCTTAATTGCTATCAAAGTTGACTTCTCTTTGCGGTTTGCAATAGCGAGTGATTAGTGCGGTAGTCGTAAATATTCTAGTGTGGGAATACTGGGAATTCTCACCATTTAATGGGATTTTTGGAAAAGCAGAGTGGGAACGTCATTTCCACCCCAATACGCCACTGAATTAGGGGTATTTAAAAATTGTTGAGTGTGACCCATTTTATAAAGGAAGACTGGATATTGAGGTCCCTCTGTATTACCACAGAGAATTTTTATCTTAGTGAATAGCCATAAGAGAGGTTAAAAATGTTGAAATTTAATGTCTAGTTTAAACATTGTAAAAAGACAAATATTTAAACTATGAATGGAATTCAAAATATAATGAGTTGCATCAGATAGTTCACAAAATGTAGTAAAATATGACAAGTGGTTCTTTTGTGTTTAATACAGTTTACTATATAACTATATACACAATTTTTAAGGTGATTTTTTCTGTGTTTTAATTTTTTTAACTTCATCTTCCTATTATAATAGATTAACTGTTAAGTCTGGTGATAAGCCAATGATGGGTAAGTGCAGAATGTTCGGCTCCAGAAGTAACCTTTGAACTACTGTGTTTGGTAAGCATATTTTTGTTTCAATTTATGTAAAGAGTTGACAAATGAGTCGCCATTGACAAGAGTTACCTGCAAGGCATATGTGATTGAAAGTCCAGCCAGTCCGGGGTCTAGGGTTTCTCGATAAAGCACCGCAAACAACGCAGCAAAGAACACAATAAAGTTACCAACAGCTTCCAGACGAATTGCCAGCCACCTAGAATCATCACCAGTCATCAGTTAACAGTAAAAATACCAGAAAACAGAGGAAAAGTCAAACCGATTACAGACACATTGTAATGCATTGCCTTTGTAATAGACTTTCCCAGCAAACTATCCAATATTTTTTCCTACAGTCACCCGACAAAGTTGGTTTCCTTGTACTGTTTATAGTACAGAAAGCTGCTAATTGCTGCATATTTATACTTTGCCGTACGGTTTATACTTTGCCGTACGGTTTATACTTTGCCGCACATCAGGATTCCAACGAAACAACACAAAACAGCGTGGTTCCATTATGCACGTAATCCGTGTACGCTTGGAAATAGGTTGGCAACACTCAAAGATAATTATACTATGAGCAGCTGATTGACTATTATAACTACGATTTAACCTGTCATTTCGTGTTTATAGTTTCGGTATTTCTGAACTTTCTGGACTTTTCTTTTAAACGTTTTTAAAACCTTCCTACGATCTTAATAAACAAGAAAATACCTTTTAAGCATTTTTTTTTAGGCGCGGAAACCACTTCAAATTACAAAAACATACGGAACTATATTATCAAAACGCGGAGCACATTTCTTGCCGAGGAAAAATAGCGGAGTGATATGGACCGCGGGTACTACTTTCTCTAGGGCACCATTTGTGTTGCCAGCTGAACCTAAAAACGTGTTGCATAGTGTGTTTGAAAGACTAATTATTTATATGCTTTATAGTGACTGTAGGAAAAATATAATGTGTAACACGAGTGAAAAAGGCCTTTGCTGCACTCGAGATCATTCCACACTCGCCTGCGGCTCGTGCGTAAACATTGCTCTCGTGTGCAGCAAAGTGCCACTTTCACCACTAGTTACACAAATAACTATTTCTTCTGATAAAGCCTACTGAAAGAGTAGGTGTCCTTAAAATATTAAATGAATAATGTGGAGGACGTTTAGTGGTTTTTTCTATTAATAAAATCGACTACCGTATAATAAGTGCCTTAAATGTGTTTAGACTTGAAATTCTGAACAAAATATGTCGTCAAATCACTGCAGACCCTCAAAGAGGAACTATATAAAAACGTTCACTTATCTAGAGAAACTTAGTGATATATGTTAATTAATTATTTATTTAATTATTTGAAAACAAGGTTCTCAGGAAAATATATGGCCCGACGCTCGAAGATGGAATATGGAGAATGAGACATAACATCGAGATTAGAGAGCGCTATAAAGACCCTGACATCATAGCGGAAGTCAAGAGCAGAAGATTGAGATGGTTTGGTCATATACTTCTTTTTACTTTTAAACTTTTAAATTTTTACCTGTTATTGTCTGTGATATTAGCTTATTAATCTAGTCTGACTGGGTTACTGTGTAACCCTATTTTACCATAATATGTGACTATGTCTATTGCAAGATTGTTTTGCTTAATGACAATAAAGGATTTCTGATTTCTGATATTTCGAGAAGAGAGGAAGACTCCACTACGAGAAATGTACTTGATAGAAATCCCGAAGGCAGGAGACCACGAGGCCGTCCCAAACTTAGATGGAAGGATCAAGTACAAAAAGATGTAAGAAGACTGGGAAGGAGTGAAAATGACACCAAAGACAGAGACATCTGGAGGCAGTGTGTGGGCGAGGCCAAGTACCTCTTAAGGTACCAGTGGCCACTCCAGTAAGTAAGTAAGTACCGGGTGTCCCAAAAAGAATGGATCAAAAGTAAACTGACATGAACACTTTATTCTTAAAGATAAAAAGTTAACTTTATATACATTTTATTTCTTAACATTCTAAGTTTTTCCTAACATAATTTCACCGCCTAACCTCTACATGTTCTCCGTTGTTCGCTCGGAGAAAGTCAAGGCGGTGTTCAAGCTCAGACCACACATTGTGTCGCATTTCATTGGATATGTTTCCAAAGGCTTCCCTTATCTTTGCTTTAAGTTAATCTAAGTTTGAGATCGGCGAGTTGCACTTGATCTTTCACAAATCCCCATACAAAAAAATCACAAGGCGTAATGTCTGGAGATCTAGGAGGCCACCGTATGGGACCGCCGCGACCAATCCAACTGTCTGGGAAGGTTTCATCCGTCTGGCCGATGTTTCCAGAATCCTTTGAGCCGTGACTTGTCCGCCAAGCGTCCCACCAATGTCACGCCTCAGTGTTTTTTGTATAGTGCGAGTACTGGCTTTGCGCCGGAACTCAATCGGTTTGGGTCTGGCAGCAGTCCTGCAGACCCCGGGGCAATTTTTCCGCTGTCGGACACATTTTCGGCAGAAGGACAGCGACTGTCATTACTACACACACAGTTTGTTTTGTTATTAATGTGCATAAATATGTATCTGCGTCCATCGTCAGAGAAGTTTGTTTTATCTTCATTGCCTTAACTCTTTCTGATGTAGTTTTGTGCGCCGTAGACGTCAGATGAGTAAGTTGATTGATATTTTGATTTGTTTAGGTTAGAAAGTTTCTGAATTAGTTTTGGCCTTCAGCCACATGTTGAGCAGGCTTTGAGTGGGTTTTGGCTAGTGAAAAACAAGTATTAAGCACCTTCTGTGCATTGGAATTACTTTTAATTACCAATTACTTGTTTTTCAAGGCGCTAGACCCATTTCTGAGGCTGGAATTGAACAGAGTTTTGTTGGGCCTTTGGCCAAGCTTTGTGTGGTCAGACCACAAGTTTTTCTGGTTAGTTTTGTAGTTTTACCGCAAGTTTTATGTTTAGGCATGAATATTTAAAAGGACTGTATTTAAAGGGGCCCCAAAATAATTCATCTTCGGTTATTTATGTGTCATAGTCATCGTTATTTTTTAATTGTTATTTATTTAATTGTTAATTCATTCAAAGTTTATATTGCAGTTACCATCCTTAAATTATTAGTTAGGCCTAACTTTTTCACAGTTAAGTTACCATTTGTAATCTGGAAGGGTAAATTTTTTGAGAAAAGTGTTATTTAAAATTGATAAATTCTTTGAATGGGGAAATGATCGTTGTTTGATGTTATTTGTAGATTTTGAAAATTATAGGCTTTGTTGACAACTGTTTGTTTTTTGATATTCACCCACGGCCTTTCATTTTTGTTAGGGATGTGGGGCGGCCACTCGCACTGTCACTATGGGGGGCATGCTTCCAATAGTTGTTCGTCTGGGGGCGGTGCGAGGGGTCGGCTCACCTTAAACTGCCTGTACCATCGTTCCATACTGTTTCTGGATGGTGGATTTACATTGTATACAGTCTGAAATCTTCTTTTTACTTTAACCACTGATTTAGTCTCAATGAACCACTCAAGACGCTGTGCTTTTAACTGCACATTCATAATATGCAACTGTGTGGTTTGTTTATGTTTTAAAAATTCAAGCGAGCTCACAACAATGGACAGCTGTTTTTTTTTTTAATCATACGGAAAAAAACTTAAAGATGTCAGCTTTAAAACAAGCCATACTTGACTTTCCTACGACCCTCAATAGCACATATATTAAGCTGTAGATTTGATCCATTCTTTTTGGGACACGGTGTATTATTTAGTGGACTTAAGTTTACAATCATAAATACCTTGCGGCTATGAAGTTAGGATAGTTGCACATCTGGTAATGGTCCAGCTTGTATTCAGACTCTGATATGAACGCTTTTTGTAGTCCGTAAGCTCTGATTGACTGAGCGCCTAAAAAGTGAAAAAATAAGAATGTACGTACGGTAAATACAAACACAACAATAAAGACTTGATTTAAAATGTTCGCTACTGCAATAGTACTAATTTATATATATATATATATATACCAGCGATGCAGATATGAGACGGCCGGTTTCTACCCACAGACTGCCATCGCATTATGCGACAGCTGGTCACATTAAAATAGACTGACGTCGCATATTCGCTTCGGTGTCCCATGTTATTATTATTAAAAAGCTTATCTTTGTAACTGTCTATTTGAAGGCACTGAATTCTCTGCAGTGGTTTACAGGGATGTCTGTCCCATAAATGCGTCACTTGGTCTGTAGATATGATGATTAGTGACGTCATTTGATAGTTGGCAAAACTGTTTTTTACTTTGCTGCATCACTGGCCCGTGGTCTTTGTGTACCTCGGTTCGTGGCAATGACCGCAGCGTCACATATATGTGGCAATCGGTAGCGAAGGTGTTAAAAGGCAACTATTTATAATCCCATACTGGAAATAATGATAGCACTTACAGTTGATCAGCTTATATTGTTTTGGTCTACTCATTTTGTATAACTCATTTAAAAACAGTAAAAAATCAGAAGTAAGCCTCAAGACAACCAATCATCTAAAGTTAGACCCAGACAAACTAACTTAATGTAAGCTAATTCTAAACTAATGTTTGGAACCTATTACTAATCCACTACAATACCTTGTACTGTCTCTCCAAAATGAGAATATATTGGAGACCTATTTGTGGATTCAAGTCTCTTCAACTGACGGGAGGTGGCTACAAAGAGGCGCTGAAAAAACCAAACATTAAAGATAAAAACCACCTTAAAAATATAAAAACTATTTTAATAGATTGGGTTCTCAAACTATTCAAATTTGATCCCAAAATAAGTGTGATATGAGTTAAGTAAAACTACTGCTGAATGCTGTTTAAAAGCCCATCACAGATTTTCCTTTACACAACACAACAGGGCAATCATTGGTGATGTTTATCACAATCCTACGCTTAATAAATAGTGACATTGAATTCACTTTATTGTGAACCAGCAAAAATGTAAACTCTATTTGCAGCCGAGTCTTTCTATCTAGCTACAACTCAAATTTGAATAGTCTAACAGAATACAAGAAACCCACTCTTATACTACAGTCAAACTTCTAGTATGAATCTCGGTAAAACAAATTCCTCAATAAGACGAATGTTTTAAAATCCCCTTGGAACTATTACAAAAGGCAATGCTAAAAACACCTCTATACAACGTAGTAATTAGGTTAAAAACCTCCATAAGACTGAGATTGTTTGTGACATGGGCTATGACTGATTACCCTCTATACAACGAATATTCTTAGCACAAAACCTCTACAAGACAAATGCGACCTCTATAAGACAAATTTCTCGTGATCTTAACCTCCATAGTATGTAGTTTTCAAAACAAACAGAAGGTTGTCTCAACATGAAACACCCACCCATCCCTCTTCCTTCCTTAGTCATTGTTTCGCATGTCTATAAAACCTCTATAAGGCGATTAAAGGCAGTTAAACCTCGATAAAACAAACCTCTTTATTAAGAATACAAATTTTTCCCATACCCCTTGAAATTTGTCTTATAGAGGTTTGACTGTACTGCATTTTATAGCAGCGGACAAAGAAATAACAAATTAGGTAAATCAGACGGAACTTACCTGCAAAGAAAAGTTTATGATGAAGATCGGTATGATAATAAGAATGAACATGGGTGTAGTATAGGTTATAACTCCAATGGTGGCAATTGTCTGAAATCAAAACAATGTGGTCAGATAACATATTCATACTTAATTTATGTTTAACTTATTTTACAAGTAGTTTACAAGTTGTAACAAACTAGTTGTTGTTAGTGTTTGCTATGAGAACTAGAAAGACGCTAGTTCAATCCTGAGAAGAATTAGCATTTTTCTGTGTTGATACCGGTCAGTAAGCTTTACAAATTGGTCCAGGCCGAAGAAACAAGTCAGTAACAAAGCTGTACACTCCATTCTATACTCACCTTTGTATTCATATTCAGCTTTAAATATGTACACAATGTATGTTTTTATCATTGTGACGTGATGTCGGTGACTACATGGATCAACAAACTAGTCTGAAAGGTATTATAAATTGTATCATGTGTCTTGTCAGTTGTCACTTGGTCTTGGTGTTAAGTAATATAAACCTTGTATCCAGCCTATAATTGTAAATAACATATTATGACAACTTGACAAATAAAAGTGGAACAACCTACCTGTATAGCGAGTCCCAAGAAAGCCTGAATGCTAAAGGAGAGGATGGAGTCACATACGTCAATGTCTCGACTGAACCGGTTGACGATCCGACCGAGAGGTGTTGTGTCAAAGTAGCTCATGGGAGCTCGTACGATGCGGTTCAGCATGGTGAGATGTAGCCATGCAGCCGCAATCAGACAACCTTGCGAGAGGGTGATATTGGACACCACGTTACATAGAGCTGCAATGTAAATAACAGCATGTAGGTATATTGATTGAACATATAAAAATCTCAAGTATTCATTACTGACTATTGTTAACACGTTGACTGCGGCCTACTGCTATAGCAGTAGCGCGCCACTGGCACTGCTTGCGGCCTACTGCTATATCAGTAGTGTGCTCACCTGCCAAATATTACGTCTGTCTGAGCCCAGCACACGGCCGCGGTTTAGGAGCGCCTTTGTAAAGGTTTTCAGCAGCGAACGTGTTAATTATTGCCTTAACAGGAATAAATATCCAAATTATTACAATTGCTTTACATTCCTGTCTACATACCTTGAGCAAATCCGAGACCAGCGTAGACGCCCAGGTACATATGTGTCTTGGAGATGTCTTGTGTTCCGTTGACCACGACACTGCGGTCACTGGACCACTCACTCAACCACAAGTTGGTGGTCACTGTGAAGCCCTGGTACAGGAACACTGCCACAATCGCCAGCATGGACCTCCACATTCCGATAGCTCTCATGTAGTACACAAACACATTGAACTTTACCTACAAAATTGCATCTCTTGGTTAGAGTTGTATTCCTGCCAGGGACAAGATATAACTGACTGGTGAAGATGGATAATAAACTAAAGGTAAAACCTTGGTTAAGAGTGAGTGGTGATTTGTTGGTTGTGGTCGGTTACTGATTTACTAAACACAATATGGACTGATAAGAGTTTCTAGTTTAAGATCAGTTTGGTGAGCTTCTCATCACTATGGCTTGTTAATGTGACTTGTATTATAATGATGCTTCACTGTCGTTTGATTGCAGCAAAAGCTGATATTGGTAGTCAATAGTGACTGGCAGTTTTTTTGTTTTTTTTTTAAGGAAGAGGAAAATCATTTATCAAATATGGGCAGTAAGTGATAGATTGGTAAGCCTTTTTTTACAGCACATTGGGTACTCGTTTATTAATTTAACTTTGTAGGCATGGCAGTTGTTTTGGTTTGATCACTATTCTGACTACGAGTCCAACAAGAAAAATACCAATGAGAATCTGCTTAGTGACAAATGGTGTGACCAGATGGCTTACACCATAAGCTGTAAATCCATAAATCAAGTATAAAACTATTAATCCTCACATTTCCAGTTTCTGATTCCTCTACTGTCATGAGTTTCTTCTTGTCTTGCTTCTCAGGTTCGTCAGAACCCTCCTTGTTTATTGAGTTTTTAGAGCAACTGACAGCGGAGCCATTGGACTTTGTAGATTCCTTTGACATCTGCCTTCAATCAAACACAATATCAGATAGAAACTTGAAGTCAAGCTACAATACTATTAAATAATTAGGCTATCATAAAAATAATTGTTTATCAATCTTAAAAAAAAGGTTCAAACACTTTAATACAAATCACATCATATTGCCATGATTTCCAGCAACATTAGATCTAATGTTTCTGGATAAGGATAAAATCCCATTCTCTCAGACAAACATATGATCATTTTTCCTGGGTAAAAATTCTCCTTAATGATTTCACACTTTCAAAAGGGGTTTCCTGTTTAGCCAAATGAATATTCCAATATATATATGTTGTAAGACAACTGCTATATCAAGGCCTACTTTTTGTCAAAATATGATCTGCTTTACACCAGTTTAATTTCCATAGGTATGTTATGATGCTTAAAATGACAATAGAAAATATTTGTGAGCCATGCAGACACACAATGTGTAAGTTTTCTCCGCAATAAAGTTAGAGGAGGGCCGACAAAGTTTTTATGATTTCAAGACAACATAAACACCAAAAGGTATACCCAACAAAAGACTTGTATAGACTTTTGTCAAGATTATTGTATCATGGAGCAAAAAAGATGAGATACTTTGATGACTCTTAGACCATACCTCTCAAGTTTCGGTGTTTTGCCAGCATCTTCACTCTTCACAGAGATGGCTCTCATATATCTGTCTCTCAGTGACTCATCCTTCAACAACTCTTCCTTGATACCATCCAGTTCTGTAGACAATAAATATGAATTTGATTTGAATACAGTATTTTTTAAATGTGTTTTGCTATCTTACCATACCTACCTCCTTGGCCATTCAAATCTAAGTTGGTTTTTGGCCTCGCCAACAAGTTGCCTCCACTGTTTTCTAAGATGAAAAACTAAAATGGTTTCATCACCCGTTTCTAACATACCAATGTGCACCAACATGCTTATGTTATGTTGTTGATGCAGCATTTTTATAACATGTCATATATTTTGAGTGATTTTAAAAATCAATGAGCAACTGAAAAATGAAGGCCTAAAAGTGATAAACATTAGTATATTTAGTCATGAGACACAATTCATAATGATAAGCAAGCTGTTCCCAGACATTTACAAGTGTTTATGGAATCATTGTTGATTCATTTGAGGAATTTAGTTTATAGCTTGTACAAGATTGTGTTCTTGTTATGGATCCCCAGAGAGAGTCACAATGACTTCCAAACACAATGTTAGAGACTATACACTAAACAATAACATCGCTAGGCAGTCAATTGCAGGGACATTTGACTTATTGCGTACAGTCATGCCATTGGTACTTGATGATGCCAACAAACAAAGCTGTTGCTCATGCAAATTTGATATCTGATTCGTATTTATATCTGAGAGTTTTAGGTAATTGATATTGCAGCGCATTAGCCCTCTCCCATATTACTTTTGATAATAACTGATACTCGTATGTAAATAGACCTAAAACCTGAAACTATCATAGACGTCAACTACGAACAATTTACGATCCATTCAACAACAAGTAATTTACAAACCATCAACAATATCCAAGTCCTGAGCTTCCTCCAGATACTGCAGCAAGAAGTCTGCAAAGTCGCCCTTGTTGCGGACAAGTTGTTTGTATGTTCCACTCTCGGAGATTTGTCCGTCCTTCACCACGACTATGAGATCCGCTTCCGGGAGGAAACCCACCCCATGAGTCACCAGCACCCTTGTCTACAACACTGACCATTTATTTCATAAACCATTGTAAACAGTCTACAGCTTATAATATACCCCGGAACAAAACTGTCAAATCAGAAAATTTAATTGTTCATAATCACATTAATGGTGAAATCCCCCCCAAAATCATTAAAAACACAAAATTTTAATGATGAATAATTTAACTGAAATGGATTTAATTACCTGGGTTGCAGAATGGTTATAGTGTTCGCCTTCAAACCTGAGGCTGCAAGTTTGATCACGAGTGGGGTCTGTTCTGCAGGACCCAAATGCTATTTCTTGTTCATTTTTTGTACTATTTCAGGGTTTGTACTTAGAGCTAATTTATCTAAGTAGGTTGCTAGCTACCTTTGACTATTGAAACAACAATTTTATATTCCATCTCCATATTAAAGTTGTCACCAGTTTTTTGTTCAAAATCATCGTAGTTAATGTGAGCCACCGGCAGATTATGCTAATATAAATTACTGATTTCTGTCGAATCGATGAATTCAGCGAAGTGGCACTTTGCTGCAGACAAGAGAAATGTTTGTGGAAAGTGCACTCTTGTTACACATTACATTTTTCCTACAGTAATTATAAAGCATACAAATAATTTTAGTCTTTCAAACACTGTACAACTTTTTTTAGGTTAGGTTAAATCCAAAAATTGAACAAAATAGGAAGCGCTGCACCAGCTGATCGTAGTCGTAATATATTTTAATGTTGCCAACTTATTTTCAAGCATACATGTATTACGTGCCTAATAAAAGCACGCTGTTTTGTGTTGTTTGGTTGGAATACTGGTGTGCGGCAAAAAAAAAAAAAAAAAAAAACTTTGGGGCAGAAGTAAATAGTGTACAGCAAAGGTAAGTAGATGCAGTAGTTAGCAACTTTCTGTGCTATAATCAGTGCAAGGAAAGCCACTTTGTCACGTGACTGTAGGAAAAACCTTTTTACCAAGTCAAACTGATGGAATGGCATACTGAGAGTTATGGAAACCTTCATGACCCATCAATTATGTCAACAACAAATAATAATCTAGAAATAGTACAGTTGAGTCTCGGTTATCTGACCTTCCTTGGCAATCATCGGCTACGACATCATCTTAAACATCTCCCGCGATAACATCGCAATTTGTCAACATGTCCCATGCTGACGGCACAATCATAAACACATTCCTTGGTCACAAAAGCTAGCGCAAAGATCTCCCACGATCACGGCACCATCGTCAACAAGTCTTGTGGTCAAGGCCTTGTCCAATGCTCGTGGTGCGATCGTCAACTCTACCCACGGTCACAGCACCAGAACAAACGTCGTTTTTGATCATTTTCCATGTTATTCGATTTTGCCACGCCGGTTTATGTGGGATAATCAAGACTCTACTGTATATTAGACACTAGCATTCTGTGACTGGCTCACAGAACTATGTTAATTTTTCAATAAAAAAAAAATGGCGACAGCTGGCCCATATAGATGGGATCTCTACTTAGTAAACAATGTCAATGGTAGGAGGATTTCCTAGCATAATGGAAATGAGGAGGCATTAAAAAATGTATTACCAAGTGAAAAATCCACTAACCGTGTTGCGCAGGACGCCTTTAGGTCCGATGACATTTTCAAAGATGTGTTTTCCTACGTGAGCATCCACTGCACTCAGTGGATCATCCAGCAAATAAAGGTCAGCTTTACTGTAGACAGCTCTGGCCAGACTGATCCTCTGTTTCTGGCCACCACTCAAGTTGATACCCTGCAAACACATTCTTATTGATCCTCTTTGAACTCAATTGATTATTCAGGGATTTACCTATACCTATAATATTAGTTTTTCTCGTCTTATAAATATACAAATTCAAAATATTTTAAAATTATGCTTTCAGTGGTCACACATACAGTAAGGACAAGCAAATTGAAGAAAATGTATGATATTTAGGATTTTAACTCACAAACAATTCACTGACCTTGTCAACTTCTTCCCAAGCTCATCCATTTTTTCTTTCTCCCCCTATTTATAGAGAAAGTATTTTTTTTTTTTTTGTCAAAATCTTTGAGTTTGAGTTTTGGTGGATATATCCGTTTTGGGTCCCCCTGAACCCAAAAAAGTTGTTTTCGAAGTGATGTCTGTGTGTGTGTGTGGATGTGTACAGAGCTACAGACCACACCTGTTGCCCGATTTTGATGAAATTTCATATGTAGGTACTAATTCATGGTATCTCTAGGAGTTTTTTATTCGTTTTTTCAAAATTTTTATTTTTAATGGTGTTTTTCTGATAAAAACCGATAAAATAACGGAAAAATCAGATTTTGTCAAAAACGGGCTGAACGAATTTTGATAAAAATTCAGTATGTTATAGTCCTTTAGGTTCTGAAAAAAATGGTACAAATCCCATTTTCGTAAAAATTACAGTTCAAAAGTTATTGTAACTTATGTTATTTTCCCATCAAATATCCAATAAAATTACAAAAAATTATTTAAGAAAAAAGCCAGTTTTGATTCAAATTAATGTGTTATGGTCCTTATAATTCCAAACAAAATAATGCAACCCCCCCATTGATGTAACACTCACAGTTTGAAAGTTATTGCAACTTTTGTGATTTTTTTCCTACAAAATTATCATAGTTACTCCCACTGCTGACCCGATAAAGGTTGTTGACAAGCTTATGGGAGAAAGTATGTGTTAGATTGATGATACTGTTTATTATTTTATGTGGGCCTCTCAGAACAAGCTCTGCCACTTACAGGTAGAACTCCTCATAAGCTGCACATCAGACTAACGGACACAGGATTCAAACCATCAACCTATGTAGCTATCTCCTGGCAGGAGAGACTAAGCCTTAGACTGCTCAACCATTGGTCAGACATAGTGGTTACCGCACTAAAAGCACTGGTTAACCTCGAGCCTTAGCGTAGGAATTAATTCTAGCGTTAATTAATTCCATGGTTGCAACACGCGTCAGGTAAAGCTTTTACCTGTTTTTAATCAGTTATACTTTAGATAGTTGTAAAGAGACGTTTGTTTATGTTACTTTTGAGTACAATATATATATGCCAGCGGAAGTGTGAAACTTCTCATTCTCACTATTTCTTGTAAAAATGCACATAGAGAGGAAAAATAGAGAATTACTCAAAACTATTACCTTCTCTCCTATCTCAGTCAAGTCCCCTCCGGGCAGGATGCCTATGTCCTGCTCCAGTGCACAAGACTTGACCACTCGTCTGAACGCTGTCTTGTCAAACTCAGATGGTCCGGTGATGTTCTTCCTCAGAGTCGCGTTTTGCATCCAAGCCTGCTGTGGGACATAAGCTATGTTCCCCTAGAAGTACAGCAATATCAGTTAAGCAACCTAACACTTTCAGCAGTGATTTTTAAATGTCCTTAAGTAAAAAACTACTGCTTTAGTTTCTTTAGTGTACAGAAACCTTGTGCTTTGTCCTGCGTTGATGTGCATTCTTGTCAACTATTTTTCAAAGCGTACTCACTCATTTAATAAGCAACAATATTAGGAATTTTTAGTGTAGAAACACAAGTAATCAAAGAAATAATTGAGTTTCCACCCTGCCATTAGAAGGAACATTAAAAATCTAACAGGAAAGAAATTCTATACTGAGTGTTTCATAACTACACCACTGAGTTAAATAAATTAAAATAGCTTATTCCCTATATGGGAAATTCGCTAAAAGTAACAATGAAACTGTGATAAATAATTAATCTATTCTATTGAGTAGAAACTTTTAGATGGGGTACGGTGGATATCCCAACTACGGACCAGTTGTAGCCAATTTTTGTTGAAATACAAACCATGTTGAATGAGCCATGTTGAATGAACCATGTTCAATGAGTGAGATGCTATCAAAGTCATAGTATCTTGGTTTGTAATACAATTACAGTTTGTTAATGTACAAGAAAGTTGTCATTGCATAAGCTGGTGCATGCTACATAAATCAGAAATTGACACAAGTACTCTATTGGAAGCTCAATTCAACATGATCATCATTGTCATATGACTTGCTACAACTACAAGTTGATTCTTTATTTTGTTAAACTAACCATACAAAGGGTAAACAAACCTTAGTATTCACTCGGCCAGACAGTTTGTCCATCTCACCCAAGATGGCCGCCAACAGGGAGGACTTGCCAGAGCCGACAGAGCCGACCACCATGATAAGTTGGCCCGGAGACACGCGCAGATTGATGTTGCGCAGCACCACTGAGTTGTCGTCACTTCCATCCCAGGCAAATGTCCCATTCTCAACTACCACCACATCACCTGGCAAACATCACGTGATAGTAGATCACAGACACCGACAAACAAGAACTCCCTGGATAATCTAGTGGCTGTTACAGATTCACTTTGAAGTTAATTTTTGGTGATGGCATTTTATTTGAAGGGTTATCATAACAATTTATCAAACATAATTAGCCTTTAACTTAATATCCGTCAAAATTTTGTACAAAGAGCTAAATACCAGACACATTGTCCACTCCTTGTATCTGCATACCTCTATACTACCCCCACAGTGCAAATGGAGATCGTTTTGATTTGTCTTATATTTTGCAGTTAGTATTGGTTTTTCTATGTAGTTTGTTTTTGTGAGGATGACTTAGAGTTGCTTTTTTTGTGCTGCGTGGATGGGTGCGCCAAAACATTTGAAATTAGTTTCATCCAAATGAGAGGCATATATTGCGATAAGTACATTAATTATCGTCATTCTATTGCATGTCATTAGATCCAAACCAAACCCCCACACTACAAAAAATTAGTAACCACCGATAAAATAGTCGGATCTGAAAAACAAATTATACCAGATTGAAGTGTAACACTGGCACAATAAGCGACAAGCGAATCAACATCTCACGGCAGTGGCTAACTTTGCATTGGAAAAAATCATCAGTAAACAGCGCTTTGACGAGTATACCCGTCGCTCGCCACTGGAAAGAGCTAGTGGCGACAAAATTACTCGTCATCATGTGTATCATGTTAACAAAATAGTTTACGGAGAATCAAAATCATTGTACTTACGTTCTGATGGGTCGTGAGACACTGATTTGGTATCTAGTTCTTCATTGTTCAAGAACTTGTTGATTCTCTTGATTGATACAGCTGTCTGAAATAATAAATCATCGATATATGATGTACATCTCAATAATGTATATTAAAGGTCAACATTGATTTTCATGATTAAATTATGTGAATAGTTAATTTTATATTGAATTAATAGTGCTTTACACCCGTGCTTTGCAACGGGGTCAGGATACAGAAAAGAAAACTTTAGTTCCTCAAAAATGCTGTATGAAATGGTAACACATCCAACATATTAACAAAACTAATAAATAATTAATAAAATCATCCAACAAAATTAAATTGTACTGCTTGGTTAGATAATAGTAGTTTTCATCACTAGGAGCGAAAGTGACTCTTTTTGGTAAGCAATCGTGTTTTACAAGCGAGGCACAGCCGAGTTTGATTTGATTAAGTACCAAAAACACACTTTCACTCCATGTGATAAACAACTATTTTCATCATACTGTGGAAATAACCCTCTAATAATATTCTTTCTAATTTCTAATGGTTTGTAATGTACCAAAAACACATTTTGAGGTCAGGGTACCAAAATATTTAACATAATGTTTTTCTATTCCCTATTTGAAGTTACCCAAAAACGATCAAGAGCTGTAGCTTTATTTGTGTAAAATTTAAATCCAATGGGTTCAGTAGTTTTTGCATTTACTTCGTACAAACAGAAAGACACACACACATACACAACCTCTTGTTCATTGTAATATTATATAGATTAAAGTTTTAGGCTCCTGAAGATTATGCTATGGCATGAACTCTTACCGAAACAATGCTGTTAAGAACTTGTGGCAGCATGTTTAAAGGAAATCTCAAAATGTTGAAAAGAGACAGAGACACAAATGCAATCTCCGCATCTAAAATGTTGCGGTCATCATACAGTACAAAAGTTGCAAATGACACCAACGCTACCTGTAACAAACACATAAGATTACTCACAGCTGGATTCTTAAGCCCCCTCTTAACCCAGCTAACAAAAAAAATTTTTGAGCTTATGCAGCTTATAAAATTTAGAAAACTAAACAATTAATTATATAGTTAATTGTTTTGTTTCAATTATTTATTCTGGAATCCAAACGATGGTTAGAAATAAAGTAATCGATAAGAATTTCACAAAAAAAAAAACCTACCAATCTATTCTTTTGAAAAACTGTTAAAAAATATAACATATTAGCTCTAAATGCTATATGTAAAAACTGGGGTGTATTTTCATTAGGCACACCAAAACTTGCTGCTGACATAAAAAGTGGTAATATTTTCTCTTGAATGATCTACGTTGAAAATGGTAGATACATACAACCGACCCAGAGCAAAAGCATAAGCTACAGTATTAAAGCATTGTGACAAGGCAGCACTAAAGCAGCATAGTGATAAAGCGTAGAAACTATTCACTAAACTAAAACTTACCAGAAACGGAGTCATTGAGAAGGCAAACATACTGAAAGAGTTGAAGTATGCAGCTGTTTTCAACACTCTGACTTCTTTTTGCCTTATTTTAGTAATCTTTTGCTCAAAACTAGGTTCCCAAGCATAAAGCTTCAAGACCTGAAAAATATAAGGTATTGTTAGTGTAGATAGGACGAGTTAACAAATATTAAACAAGGCTGTAAAAAAATAAAATTTTTATAGCTTTAAGATATGCCAAATACTCAAGAGATGTAACACTAAGCAAATATTAGAGCTGAGCATATCATGAAGGGATTCAAGCGTATCTTGACAATCGGAGAAGAAGTCTGTGAAGCTTGCACGATCGAAAGAAGTAATAATAATATCTCCTCAAAACAAAAGTAACCCTCTGGCCCATCCAAGCTTACTTTGTTTCTTGGATTTACCAAATTGTTGAATATTATAGTTATCAAATTTATTATTTAGAAAATTATTTAGCATCTCCAATGATAGCTAAAAGCCAATGAGATGTATTAAAGTAGCATAACTGAGTTTATGACTCCCTATTGGAACTTAATACCTATAACCCTAACCTCATAATAGCTACCGTGAAATTAATGAGGTTTCCGATTTTCAAAAGATTTTTAAGAACATTTTTGTGTAATTTGTAACAAAAATTTAAGTTACAAGCTCATCATCATTTCAGGAGCATTTAACAAGTCAGGACTTGTGCCTGACAACTCCATTCATTATGAAATTGCATGTCGAAGTTCTCACAGTTGCATAATTAACACAGTAATAATAGCTCATGAACTCACGAGCTGTGTGAATTATTTGTCTCTTGACACAGTTATCACTTCTTGTGTTACCCACCAAGCTTGCTCTGTGTGTAAAAAAAGTGTCATATTATGAAATCCTCTGTAACAGCAAACCTGCAGACTAAGCATATTTAAAATTGCTTGAAAGCAGGATCTTCATTATACAATTTATTCTTAGATCCTCACCCTATGAAACACACTTTGGGCATATAGTTATGATTACCAGTATTACTTCAGTTTCAGTTCAAAAATTGTGGCAAAGAAATAGATATAGTATAAAAATATAAGAAATTATTTAACTATTGACTAAATGTAAGCTAAGTAAGTTTAGGAGTCCGTGGAAAATTATTAATTAACCAAGGCAAGTAATTTTGATAAGTCTATTGATAGTATTATTTTCATAGTTTGATAGCACTTACTTTTATTCCAGACAAAACTTCATTCATAGTTTTGATTCGCTCGTCTTTGTGTTTCATCTGTTTGATGCGCAACCTGCGGTTTTGTCTGACCATCCAAGCATTGAGTGGGACCATCAGGATCATGACAGTCAGGCCTGCCAACACAGCTGGCCCTGCAGACGAAAATATCAAGAGACTATCATAATCCTTATCTTTGAATTTATTCGCCTACCTTTGTATCAATAATCAAGAAGTTTGCCTTTGAATATGAAGTACTAGACAGCAAAAGTAGTAGCAAAAGATTTGTTCCTGAGATACTGTGTAAATTACACTGTCAGAAACAATTAAAAAAAAACTGTTCAAGATAAATTTACGCCAGGAATCATAAGAGAAGAGCCCTAGTTTGTAGAAATAGATGGATAGACTGACTTTGCAGCTGACTGAGATACAAATTACCAATAGATAACCTGCCAGTAATTTTGATAAAGACCATATAACTTTGAATAAGACTAGAGCATTTGATCAAAATCTTACCTAGGAGCTGCCACAGGAAGTACAGTGAGAGTACAATTTGCATTGGAGCAGACCAGACCAAGTTGAGATGTTGCATCAGCTGTTGGAAGGAGGCAGCATCTACAGCCATCAGGTTGACTATCTCACCTACTGTAGACTGCTTACGAGCAGCATTGGACAGCTTCAATGACTGTAATTGTCACAAAAATATTGCATTCAGTTATTTTACATCTTGCCTGAATTATTTTAAATACATCATAAGAAGAAAATTTTCAAAGAGATTATAATTAAAAGAAAACTAGCAATGTGGTGTCTAGGCACTTGTACGCCTACCTACCTTTTTGTAAATTGTAGAAATGAGCCCAGTGTTGATCCGAGCTCCAACAAAGTTCATGGTGAGAAAGTAACGGTTGAGAAAAAACATTTGTACGTTGGTCGTTAAGAACATGAGCGCTGCATACATACAGCCCTTCCACAGGCTCTCATCACTTGATACAAACTGGATGAGTAATCTGGAAATAATTAGAAATAAAAGCCATTAAATTGACTTAGATAGCCATGAAATAGTTGATACTTTACACTAAATTAGTAATACTGCTTGAGTTAACTGAAAATAGTTTTAAAAATTACCACATTTGATTTTTTACAAACAATTTTTTTCCTGCAAAATATTATATAAATCGTCCAACAGGTACTAAATTCTTTAACTGAACTTGAATAATTGATTTTATTTTGGATTGATAACTTATGCAATTAAACATCAACCGGATTAATCAAACAACAGACAAGTGATGGTAAGTTTGCGTTGACATATTGAGTTGCGCCATAACTAAAAGTATACAGTCTTTAAGTCCAAATTCAAATGTAAGTTTTTCAATGAGTCAGTTAGTTACACATCAGTTTATCCAGGATGTTATACATGGAGGTTTTATGATTCACTTACTTGAGTAGTTGTGGGTTGGCAAAGAGGATAAGATCCTGAGCGAACTTGAAGAAAGATCCTACAAGGAACATTGGTCCAAATGTCCGGAGAAGCGCAGGTAGGATGGAAGCTTGCGGACGAACAGGGCGGTAGAACCCAATCTTAGAGGAACGCTTGTCATAGGACACCTTGGGGCGTTGTCTGAGGCAACCAACATTGTGAGGTTAGGTTGGATTAGACTATATCAAATTGGTATAATGGTTTGGTATACCACCAAACCAGGGTGCGTATTTCAAGGCAAAGATGACTGGAGGATGATTGTTGAAGAACAAGATGATAGCTTTTTTATTCCTGACTAAGATAAACTTTTTCCCTAGGAACATTTTTTAAAAGCCCAATAATCAATTAAAGACAGCCAAGTAAAGTTCAAAACTAAAAAAAAACTATTGACTTTTCAATTAGTATCCTTTTGATCACTAGGTATGCATAGCATGTTGAAACGATATAAAGAGCAGACTTATACTTACAATTATTGATTTCCATTTAGGAATCTTTAAATTATTCACAATTGCACTTACCTGTATTACCTCTCACACCTAACAGGACACTTCCATTATAGATCACTGTGAGACAGTTCAAGGTTGCTTTAGCTTAGTAGTATAAAACAGTATTACTTAGTTTATTTCCTCCTTTTATTAGAAAACAAACCTAAAATCAAGGTGGTGTATAACTTGTTGAAGATCAATTCTAATGTCCATGGAAATATTGTTCAAATGTATTTGAATTAGAACATATGGTATTATTTCATATGTTAAACATTATTAATAGTGTTTGTTCCAATGATGTAAATAGTTGTTGGTTTCAGTATCCCATTTTTGTAAGTATAAAATTAAAACCTTTAATTCCAAGTCTTAAAGTTTCCTACTAATAACAGGTTATGGGCTACTAAATTGAGGATAAGGTTGACTTGGAATGGCAATGGGAACTCCAATTTTGGTATTGAAACCTTTTGATGGACACAATTTTAGTAATTGGCTGTTCAGATTAGAGTTGGTATTGGAACAGTATAAAGTCCTAGATGTCTTGACACAAGAAATTCCTGAAGAAGAAGGGCCAAGGTCTGCCTTCATGGAAAAAGATGTCAAAGCAAGAGGTCTGATAGTACAGCATATCACGGATGATATCATGTCGACCATCAAGGGCCAGAAGTCAGCAAAAGGGATGATGAATCTCCAGAGTACATGTCGAATGGGTTTAAAGTTTTTTGTCAGAAAAAGGGAATAACTTTGGAATACACTGTACCGCGCAATCCACAACAGAATGGTTGCAGTGAACGCTTAAACAGAACCATCTCTGACTGCATGCGCTGCCTTTTATTTGATTCAAAGATGTCAACCGAATTTTGGGGTGAAGCAGTACTTTCTGCAGTTTATATTATCAATCGAAGACCAACTACAACATTGGGCAGAAATGTTACACCTGCAGAAATTTGGTACGGATATAAGCCTGATATCGCAAAAATCAAATTGTTTGGTTGTGTGGCATACTGTCATATCGATAAGGATCTTCGTAAGAAACTTGATGATCGAAGCTCTAAAATGATTATGATTGGCTATGCAAGCAATGGATATCGATTGTGGGATCCTTTAAAAAGAAAGGTAGTCGTTGCTAAACATGTGAAGTTTTTCGAGAATGACTTGTATTTTTCTGAGAAAGATAAACAAATTACTCAGCCGTTTGAAAAAACTGAGCAAACTATCTTCATTGAAGAACAAGTAGAGGACACGTTGCCTGATAGTGATAACCAACAAAACTTGCATGCTGAGGAAGATCAAGTCATACAGGAGCCAGGTCCTAATTCTAATGAAGCTGAGCCGGACAATTATGGGAATGACCTGAGAAGATCGCAAAGACAGAAAAAGATTCCATCATGGATGGATGATTATGATGCAAATTTTTCTACTGCTTTATTGGTGGATGAACTTCTACATGAAGGTCCGAACTCCTACGAGGAAGCGATTCAAGATAATGGATGGAGAGAAGCAATCAACGAAGAACTAAAAAGTCTTCATAAAAATGAAACTTGGGAACTGGTCGAAACTCCAAAAAGTGAACAGGTAATTGATTCTCGTTGGATTTTCAGGGAGAAATCAGTTAATGGTGTTACAATAAAGAAGGCAAGATTGGTTGCTCGTGGATTTCTTCGGGGGGAGAAATCTTATGAAGAAATTTTTGCACCTGTCGCAAGGATGGTAACTATAAGAACTTTATTGTCAATTTTGGTTGTACATAACTTATTATTTTGTCAGTTGGATGTTAAATGTGCTTTTTTGAACAGGGTATTAAGCAGTCCAGTATTTATGAAACCCCCTAAAGGAGTAGAAACTAGAAATGGACTTGTTTGTAAACTTAAGAAGTCTTTGTATGGTTTAAAAGAAGCTCCTAAATGTTGGTATTCTCGGTTGAACGAATTCCTAATTGGTATTGGTTTTGAACGATCTAAATCTGACCCATGTTTTTATTTCACGAAAAATGTATATATTGTAATTTACGTTGATGATATGATAATTTTTGCTAAAGAGAAGAAAGATTTGTTAAGTGTTAAATCTAAGCTGATCTCCACTTTTGAAATGAAGGACTTAACTAATGAAAATCACCTAGAGTTCCTAGGTATTTCTATTGAGAAATGTCACGAGGGTCTTAAGCTCCATCAATCGAAGTTGATTGAGAAAATAATCCATAAATTCGGGATGGAAAATGCAAAACCGGTATCTTTGCCAATAATACCAAAACTTCAGATGGTAAAAAGTGACAAATGCTATACAAATTTGCCGTACAAACAACTTCTTGGAAGCTTAATATATCTAATGCTGGGAACCAGACCTGATCTGTGCTATTCAGTTACATACTTCAGCATTTTTCAAAATTGTTATGATTGCACACATTGGAAGTATCTGAAAAGTATTGTAAGATATTTGATTGGAACAAAGGATCTCTCTCTTATGTACACTAAAGAACACTCAACAGGAAGGGATATACAATGCTACCGTACTGCGACTCTGATTTTGCAAATGACGTTGAAGAGAGAAAAAGTATCAGTGGCTACACATTTAAGGTGTTCGGTAACACAGTTGCATGGAAAACAAAGAAACAACCTGTTGTTGCTTTGTCTAGTTGTGAAGCTGAGTACATCGCTCTTGCAACTTGTGCTACTGAATGTGTTTTTATCTCCCGCTTGATGTCTGAAATGTTGTTTATAGAAATGTCACCAGTATTGGTTTATGAAGATAACCAATCATGCATCAAGATGGCCACAACTCTGGAAACAAAGAGGTCAAAACACATTGATGTACGATTTCACTATATCAAGGAACTCATAGCAAAGAAGATTATTGAAGTGAAATATATTGCAAGTGAAAATCAAGTTGGTGATTTTTTTACTAAAGGGCTATCACTTGCCAAGTTTAAAAAGTTCAGAAAAGAACTGGGACTTTTCTAAAAATTTGTTTAATCAGTTGTGTTTGTTTAAATTTGAATTGGATTGAAGAATTGTGGGGGAGTGTTGAAGATCAATTCTAATGTCCATGGAAATATTGTTCAAATGTATTTGAATTAGAACATATGGTATTATTTCATATGTTAAACATTATTAATAGTGTTTGTTCCAATGATGTAAATAGTTGTTGGTTTCAGTATCCCATTTTTGTAAGTATAAAATTAAAACCTTTAATTCCAAGTCTTAAAGTTTCCTACTAATAACATAACTAGGCTGTTTTCCATATTTTTCGCTTTATAACTGATTAGGCTCATTATCTAGTGTTTTGTATGTTTCTTTTTCTTACCGAATATTAAGAATTTAAGTTTTATTGTCTACCAACTTTACTCCATGATACCTACAATTTTATTCTTTGAATAAATTATAGTGTTTGATAGAGCCAAGTTTTAAGAATGGCCCAAAAAAGAGCTTTGATGATGATATCGGATTCTAAAATTATAAAAGACTTTCAGATTTTACATAGGGTCAAACTGATATCCCAACTAAGCATTCATACGTCTCGGTGACTGAAATATACAAAATTGAGGGATCCAGAAGTCCTTGTTCGTTAAGGACTTTCATAAATGGTCCTGGCCACGAAACTGTTGATCTTAGTCAGTAACAAAGCTACACGAGGCATCTCACTCCATTTTACAGTAGCCTACACTCGTCTTCATTTGCGCACTTTGGTTAAAATATGCCAAAAGCACAAACACCGAAATTGGTAATGATAATAAGAACTAAAGTTGTTGACATAACTCACACTTGCTGTAGTGAAGCCTCCCACCGCCCTTCAAACTCCGGGACGATGATCCTGCAGGAGTTCTCATGATTGAGACTGTACATGTCCTCGGCACTGAGGGGTTTACGAGCTCCTTGCATAACTGTCGGTGTGAACCACGACAATGTAAGTCTGGAGGGAACCGACGCTGATATCTCGGGACTGGGTTTCTACAGCACAAGACAATTGTAAACATATAAAATACTCTAGAGAGTTGTGTCTAGAAGGTTTTTTTATTTTCTTGAAAGTTTCTGGCTTTGCCAAGCATAGCACGACTTAAAATTCATGTTTCAAAACTGTTTTTTACCTATATAAGTCTTAGAATGGTTAGTGTTGGGTGAACACAAAGTGAAGGATATGTTTTCTTTAAAACATTACAAAAAGGAAGTAATAGTTTTTAATAGTAATGAGTGACTTGTATTTGTTTTAAGGTTCCTTAAGTATCAAAACACAAAGATTTTAACTTGAGGTTTGATCATCAGTACTGATACCTTTTGGGGTAGAGTTTAAGTAAATGGTAATGACTAGTAAAAGAATGTTTAGGATTAAAATATGAGGACATCTTTTTCTTAAATTCAATTACCTCTTGCGCTGGATATTCATTGTAAGTTGGAGCCTTGTCGCAGAAAAAGTTTAGAAAGAAGAAACTCAGCTGCAGTATGTAGACTGTCACATTCAGTGAAGTTGTAACAGCATCCTGTAATGTCTGGGATACAAACAGAAGAGATTACAACTTACAAAAATACAATGTGGTGAATGTGCATACAATGTGCAACTATGACAAAAGTTCTTATTTTGGCAAAGGTCAACACTAGTTTGATCTAGAACCAGGAAACACAACAACCTTATATAGGATTTAAAGATTTGACACTAAATAGCAAAGATATTTTTCATACAATGGCTAACTGATCCCTCACACTTTATGTAAAACTGTAGGTAGTTTTAATAACTACCAACATTAAGTATAATATTATACCTAATGTTTGTTTTAACATGTCTTGAATAAATGTGCATGATGACACCTAACATTCAAGTGTTTGAAGGTTCAAACAGTAACTCTATTAGTCTGATTTTGTAATTTTAAAGGTATATGTCCAATATTCAACAAAACTACACATGCTTAACATTTATGGTATAATTTTCTTCTTTTAACAAATAAAATATATATTGTACCTAGTTAGGAATTAAATTAAAGCAATTTTTATATTTGAGGATATACTTACACCATTGATGTATGCTCTGATAAATGAGTATATCTGAGGAGTTTGGCAGATAACTAGCACAAGGCTGATGAAGAAAAGGGCGTAAGATATCCGTTGTCCATTGGACTTGTGTAGCAGGATTAGAGTCAATATAACACTCTGAAAATAGAAGAAGTTATGACATTAGCATCTAACTTATTGTTTACAGTTCAGGTAACATGCAATAATTGAAAATGAAATATTGCTAGGGTTTTAAACAGCCTTAGGGTCTTAAATCAATTTTAAAGTGTTGTGTTTTTAGACCATAGGCATTTTAATGTTTTTTGTAAGGAAGCATTCTTGACCCTTAAAACTGATTTTGAATTAGGGGAGAATACAGTGGCAAGAACCGCCTTGTTTTCAATGCTTAATTCTGATGGATGGCATCAACTCCATACAGCAAGAGGAAATTGCATAATTCTGCTGTCAACATATAATTTGTGGGCTTCATTGCCACTTTTTACCTGTGGTCTAATTTTTTTAGCTTACGAATGTCAACATTGTTGCTTCGGATAACTTTTTATGACTCAATGCAAATGCAATAAACGATAATCAGCAGAATTATTATTTTTTTATAGGTGGGTAACTTCTAATAATTGTTAGTTTATACTTATAAAATATTTTTTTATTGCTTATAGGCTATACCAAAATTAGATATAGATAAGATGTACTTTAATCTGTCATTTTGGAGGGAGTAGATCAACATTGTTTTTCATTTAGAGTATGACCAGTATAATAAGAGGCCAGATAACTTACGAAAATCACAAGCTGGACAGTTGGAGCTGCATAATCAGCTGGATAAACTTCCGCTTGTTGCGTTTTGTACAGCAAGTTTGCAATACTGACAGCCATTAGCAGTGTGACCACCACCTGAAAATAAACATAACATCATAGGGACTATCGGATAATAATCTCAAATATGAAATAAGTGCTCCATTGATAACACCTTTGACTATTCATATACACATTTCTATGATAAAGCTGAAGCCAGTTGAACATAAAAATTAATGTAGTTGTATTGAGCTACCACAGAGCGTGCAGATGTAAAGTACTGATTTGTCTAATAACAAATGTTTAATCAAGCCAAATCAAAACGACAACTCATTGTTAATGATTATTGTATTAACATTCCTGTCTAAGGATCTTGTCGACCTTAATCAGAACAAAAGAGTACAAGATCACGCCACTCATCTCCATTCATACTTAGCTTAAAATATCTCCCTTCGTATGATCACCATTTCAGTTGAAAATATTAAAGTATCTCATATATTACTGACAAATTACCAGTACTGTACAGTAAGAATTAGGCTACCAGGAGGAATAACGATTTTGACATTAGCACATTCTATGAGTTACTTGTTGAACTTTTTCACTATGTAAAAAATGGCTACAGAAATAGATGGGATGTCTACTTCAGTATCCAAGATTCAATGGTACAGCTAAGCCGAGCACTCTGAGCATTTAGCATGTTCTCATAACAGCGAATTAGCCTATTATACATTTTCAAAAGTTATTTAAACTAATAATCTCACTAATATTATAAATCTTACTAATTATAAATGTGACGTAGGAAATGGTGTAGGAAGTAGTAATGCTAGCAGTGCAGAGTGTGGGAACTGTCTGTGGCATTTATGTATCTGCAATTCTAAAATGGTATAGGGAAGGAGGGCAAACAGGTCCACGACGTAGGGAGTGGTGAAGTAAGTAGTGAAGGTTAGCAGTGTGGAGATTGGGAGTGGATTAATGTATCTGCAATACTTTTCAGAGTAAAGTAATAATTTTCCCCGAGCAAAGCTCGGTCCCCAGGTACTTTAAAGGGAATTAAAGAATTTAGTCAGCTGTTTCAACTTAAAAAGTTGGTTCTATGATAAGGAAAAACATTAAAAAGTTTATTTAAGTTATTTACCAACAGGGTGCAGCACTATATTTTTTTGCATTTATGAAAACAGCTAATTTGAATTAAGCAGCAACAAAAAAAGGTGATTCGCAATGAGAACTGTCAAAATAGGATTGTTTACAGTTATGTTTATGTTTTTCATTTCATGAATAATTTGTGATATTTTGCGAATTGTTGATAATTTATTTTTCTCTATTGTTTAGGTGAAATGGTAGAACATTATGGCTATGGGGGATGTTATACTATAGAATAGGTACTGTAAATTTAAAAAAAGCAAATTTTATCAAACTGTGTCCTCCCTTATTGCAAACGCAAAGCTTGAGGTATAACTGCAATAAGCATTTTATACTTATATTCCAATCCCATACGAAGGACGGGTACTATGATAGTATTATCAAATTTTTTTACTAGAATATGCACAGCTGTTCAAGTTGTGATGTGTATTGTAGATATTTTATGTTTCACAGATAGATTTTAACTCCTCTTAACTATCTGTGTTTAACTAGAGTAATTAAGGATAAGAATCAGATCATTACAACAGAAAATAATTGTCTTAAAAGCTTTCAATTGGCTTGTAAACAACCTCTTCAAATTGGAAACTCTTGTGTTAACAGCAAAAATGCTATCTAAAATCTTAGAGAATAAGAGTACGATAATCAAGTAGAACCTATTTAATAAATGGTTTACAAGTATTTGGTTTGAAATTTTAGATCACTCAATGTTAATGTTAATCCATTGGAATCCCAAAACGTCTTTAAATGAAGAGCTTTGCCATAGTGGTTGTAGAATTCATTATTCATAAAATCATGTAACAAATTTTAGTTAAATTATTTTGTATAGGTACTTATCAATAAAAACCGTTCTTTTGTTTTATTTTTGTAATGGGGAGTACTCATTTTGACAGACTGATTGTATACCTAATTCAATTCATTCACACATTTTTTTAAACCCTTTACTTCCCATAGTATCCTTTTGGATACATATTGTTTCTCATTTTTTTACCTCTCTGTAAGTAGAGATTTGAGTCTATACCTCTATGCATTTTGTTTCTAGGCTTATTAGAAAGGGTATTTAATTTTCCTAGTGTTGGCAAGCCTGCGAAAAGAATAAAAATATTATTTCAAAGTGATGTGAACCATGTTGTTGACACATCACGAAATTTAAGACTTTCAAGATAAGATTTTTTATGTTTATAATTAGTTACGACGCTGGGAAAAATTATATTTCACTTCATTGCAGCTTTAGCTACTGAAATATACATAGAATTATAGTTTTCTGTTACTTACTTTTTATATATTTGGTATGAAATAACTGAATCCAAATGGATACTATGGGAACACAGAGTATGCTGACAATATTTAAAGAGTCCTTTGTGTTCCCATAGTATCCTTTTGGATACAGGTTATTTTTAATAATAGCTACGGTGTGTCGTCTGTGTTCCCATAGTATCCATATGGATACTGTTTTTCTTTTGTATTTTCTTCTATATAAGTCTGTTTCTTAAGCCTGCACAATGATAAATATAGGCCTATAAGTGTTGTAATGCATGTTTCACTCCGATATTATAAATCATAAAATATTATCATGATGTGTTTTACAAATGAATAACGATGAAACAATTAACGAGTAGCTTATGATGCCATCTAGTGATATTGTAATTAAGTTTTTTTACATAATATGTCTATTGGTACCCATTCTAAACGAATTTGTTTATTTGATGAACTAGTAACTTATTTTTCAATTTGATACAACTTTTAAGAAACTTGTATCCATATGGATACTATGGGAGTGACAAGGTAAAATTAAAATTATTATCGTATGAAAATTAGCGAACAATGGTACTTTAGGTTTCCATGGAGTCCATATGGATACATATTCCTAACTTTTAATTCTATGAGGGAAATTTGAAAAAAAAAACACATTTTTAGCCTTAAAATACAAAAAATAAAAATAAAATTCACTTTTTATTTTTAAATTTCATAATTCCGGGAAGTAAAGGGTTAAAACATCTTATGGTTTTTCTACAATCTAACACCAGTCAGTTATAAGGCTGTTTTTAAACTATGGAGGAAGGTACTTGCCTTTTTAGTTTTCTTTAACTAACGACTGATTGACTTTACCCTTAAGATTGTTTGTGTGTAGCTGTATTGTTCATCTGGATTATATAAACTTGACCTGAGGTTGCATCTTTGTAATCTTATTGTAAACTACCAAGGTCAAGGGCAGTCAACTCTCCCAAGATAACTATTGTCATCTCATCTCGCTCCTACCTTCAAATGCATTATAAATAATACAAGTGTGTGATTCATTATGCAAAATCAGTTTTATGTAAAATAATTCAAATTTTTGATTGACACATTTCCTTAGTCACTCTAAACATAAAAATAAAAACTAGGGTCTATCTAGCATTGACTCTTTGTAAATATGACATTGATTTCCCATTAATTAGTACAAACACTGTGAATCACTTTGAAATATATTTAAAATTTATTAGATATAAACTATCAATTTGTATTTCAACAGCCATCAACATCCTCTCACATCTCACACTAACCATGGCCCAGTGTAGTTTCCTAACAATCGACCTTGTGCCAGATAAGTCAAAACTCGTTTCACAGGATGAGGCTTGCATTCTATGAGTTCATTAACCAGTCAAATATCTGATAAATGCCACTAAGTAGTGCTGGGGGACATTTCAATCACTTGTGCTTTTTAGAACCATCTTTCATTGTTCAGCTGTGAAAACACTAACTTCAATTGATCAACGTTTCAGTGACTCCTCTCACTTAAGTCTAATTGTTCATAACCTATCTTTGGCATTTAAAATTTGTCTAATTCAAACTTGAATCAATCCAAACCTATTAAATGAAACTTAAATCTTTCAAGAGAGTAACATTTTCAAAATGAATCCTGCTACTGGATTCCACTCAAAAGGAGTTCTGAAACAAATTTCAAATAAATTCTGCTAGATCATTGGGTTCCCTCATAATTTTTTTTGCTTAAATAGTTTAAAAACTGATTTTACCAATAATTTAAACCCGCAGCTCTCTTTCTCCAAAAGCCTATAAATAAATCTGGTATGGTGCAATCAGACCCATTTCCATTATATATGCCTTACTCCAATGACTAGTGGTTGCTCAGAGTTTTTACTGATAACTTCCATTATTTCAAAAAATAAAGACTACTTTACATTATCCGCCCAGGACATTTAAATTTTCATTCACAAAAACAGTTACAAAGTGTAAACTGGGAGTAATCCAAGAGTCAACAAGATTGTGCCTGTGTCAGACCTTGTTCTAAAACAGTCTGTTGTAAATCATATGATAACAAAATCGGGGGGGATGGTCTGTGAAGATAATGACAGAACTGCTTTGTTACATGACGAGAAGTGACTCAGCTGTTTCAGAATCATTACTGGAGCCGGGTCATTAAAGTCATTATACAAAATTTGATTTGAATGTCCTTGAGCCTGGCGAGTTTCTCACATTCCCTTTTTCTCTTTTGCAACCGCAAACAAAGGTTCAGCACTGGTGCCTCTTGATGTGTTGAATAGGCACTCTGACACTTGAAAAATCATGACATCCTCAATTCTGTGTTTACTTAGCCAAACTATTCAGCTCGGTGAAATAGCATCTTACAATATTTATCAGTATTTTACAGCAATTGGCCTACTTATATCGTTTCTGAATCTTGTGGCGATATTCAGAAAAAGAAACTGTTACTAAGATTCCTAAATTAGGAGAAACGTCTAACAAATTTAATCTATACATTGGTCTTCATCCTTATAAGATTTTAAAATGTTTATTGTATATTTAAATACAGTAGCACTGGTAGCAGTAAATGATTTTTATTGTTATCTTACGCAATTTTTGTATATATATATTATTACTTAATTTCTTGCTACTGTAGTAGGATACCTGTCTCAAGCCAGAGGTTTCACGTACATGAATCAAAACAATTCCTCCCCCCGTTTATCAGCAACTTTAATCACAGCCTATATTTGGACAGTAGCAAAACCGTAGTCCTAAACATAATTCAGCCTAAAATAATGAATGTTTAAATTAGTTATTATGTTTTGACAAGCATTTCTTCTGAGGAGTCATTTATTGGAAAATGTTCTACATTACACCACCAAAGTGTAGGTACTTACTATCTTTGAGATATTCAGCCATGACCAAGGTATGTGTTTTGCCTTGCTGTTTCTCAGGCTGCAGAACTCAACTGGGACAAACAAGAGCAAAAACAGTCCAGGAAGCCACACCAGGACAGTCTTCTCAAAACACGGGGTCAGGTCTGGGTCTTCTGTGTGCCATGTTACATTGGCATCCTGAAACAGACAAGCTTATATCACCAGATATCACATATCACATTGACACTAACTACAGTGGGCATAGGCATACCTTGATTGAAATTAATACCTTAAAGTTTTGTCATCTGTGTGGATGGTCATCTGAAGTACTACCATAGATACTACTTCTAACTCGTTCATCACAGCGTTTTGTGTTGTTTACAATTTATTCGTTGCTATTTTGACCAAATGTAAACAAAGAAATTCAAGGAAATAACAATACAACAATCAGCTGTCAAATTATTAACACAACACATATTCCATATGATCAGATGATACATACCACGGATGAAGCTATTTCCAAAATCGGCCGAGTAGAACTGTAAATGTATAGTTGTACAAGTTAAGCAAAATCTCTAATTCAGTATTTTCTCACCACTATAAATTTGGAGGTTGCTTAACATTTTTGCAAATAGGCTTGGTCGCTTGGTGAGGAAATCGACCAAAGTGGAAGGTGATATGTATTATTATGAAAGGGAGTAAAAGTTCCCAAAAATAACTAGGCCTATATTGAGTATTTGTTGAAAATACTCAATAAAGGCTGCCAAAAGTTGCATCCAAATAAAAAATTAAAAACCCTGTTTTCAATGTATTCTTTATGGAAAACATTTTTTTTTTTTACCATAAATCCGAACAAAAAGAGAAACTTTCATAATTAATTATTTGCAAAACTACAGGAAATACCATTAATTAATAAAATTGGTCCATTAAAACTGTAGATTTAGAACTTACAAAGATTTTTGAAACTGAATCATTATAAAGGACGTTTAAAAAAAACGTTTATTAGAACAAAAATCCAATGTCAATAATTAACATTCTTTGAAGCAATATCCGTCTCAATAACATTATTGATATTGACATGATTTTTATCTTTGGCGAATATAGAGCCGATGTCACAATAACTATAGCTTACCTTCTACCTGGCCAAACGGTTCCTATTGTCCAAATTTAAAAGTTTCCAGTTTGTTTAGAAGAGGAAGAATGTACGGGTGGCAATGACCTCCCTCCCCTCCCCCAAGGTCAACTACACGGACGCCCCTACACACCCTTCCCTTCGGTGAAATCAGAAACCAAACACTACAAAAGTGCTTGTCAGTCCACCACATTGACTTGACACACACACGCGCACATCCTCAATACAAAACATGACTTTGCCAACGACAATGACCGGTTGGATAAATATTTGTGTAGAATTGTATTCATCACTCAATGCATTTTAGAGGCGGCCTTTGAATTGATAATAATAATTTAATTTCATCGGTTGACATTTATACATTTTTACATTGCATAATTGAATAAGCTGTAGTTATGTAAGCGCATTTTGTAAACTCGAAGTGGTGATTTAAAGTAAAATGGAAAGGTACCCAGTGGAAATGTTAATGTGTCATTAGATTGTATACAATTTGTAATTAATTTTAACCAACAGTGCTAAACTGTTTGAGAATTATGATCATTTTAAAATCATCATAGTTGGCAACAGCTTTCTTATGAAAGTCCATCCTTAACTATAACAGCAGCTGTGATATAAATTCATGAAAAATTAGAAAATCAACAGTAGCATTCCACAAAAAGATATATAAAACAGATAATACAATTTTTACAGACTGCAAACCGTATACAAATTTTCTAGAATTGTCAATTAGTAACCTAACATAGGCTGTTCATAAGATATGATCACCAAAAATGGTTTAATTTGTTGAGAGAATACACTGCGGTTGCATAAGCTAGGAATTTTAATAACTAAACTGGAGTAGTGTAGTTTAGACATACTCGGCAGTTAGTTGTGTAAGCCCGATACCAGGTTACTAGCAGGGGTTGTTATCAAAGTTTTTATCGCATGATAGGGTACGATAAGACTTAAATATTCTGTTTCGAAACTAAAGCAACCAGACAATATTAAGTTACTTTAAAATAATATTACACCATCAATCAATGACAATTTACCTTTAAACTACCATAGGCTACAATAACTTAACAAAGAATTAATGAATCAAAAATTGTATTTACAAAATAGGTAAACCCTTAAGTTTTGTAAAATAAAATAATAAAAAGTAAAATTATCTTACTTACCCAAAACTGAGAGCCGCACAGGTCATCCAAGTATGACGTCATTTTCCAAATTACACAACACTATTTAATTTTTAAAAGTAAACATTACAGTTTCTACTTAGTAACATTATCCGTGCCGGTAGCCGAAATAGGTTACTGTAAAGATTATTTTGAAATAGCCTAGAACAAAAATTAGTATCAATCCAACAATAACCGACCAACGCAGTAAAAATCCTTAAACTACACTTCACCAAATTTCTTCAGATTACACAACTTCTCGCAACAATGATTTACAACAATAATAAGCACATTCAAAACAAACACTGTTTACCAAGGTTCCCCGTCTCTACCACAATACTGTAGTTAGAAAATAGATGGCGCTAGTGCGGCAGCCGACGGCCTTTGTGTTGTGGATGTGGTGTGTGAAAAGCAATAAGCAAGAGACAGAAGAGAGAAGAAGTGGAACAGGAATGGAAATGGCGGGCGGAAAATGGGGTGGGGTCAACAGGATGGCGTCTGTAACGTTCGATATATTGAACCGTTATATTGCAATACGATAGTAGTGATTTAATATTGTTGTTTGTTGTTTAATATATTTAATATTACATTTAATATTGTGTAACTGTATCATTCTTTTGCTATCGCCCGAAGTGATTTTTTTAATGCACTCGTACGCCAGTCCCTGACCCTAGTCTATGTCGTGATGCGTACGGCCGCGGCCTGGTAGAATCAATTGGCAACGTCGCAAGTAGTGATGTTTAGCAACAGACGTCCCGTAAGTTAACATGGCAGGCAGGTGACACCTGCACACAGATCATTAATTCACGTATTACGTGTTATTTACGTATTACGTAATACTGAAAATAAAACATATAAAATTGAAAACCGAAACAATATCAATTAAAAACAATTTTCTATAATTTTAAAGTGGAGTCAATATTTTCATAGCCCAGTAACCAAGCTTTTCTTATTTAAAAAAAATACACTAATGCCAGCTGCATCCAAACATAAAAGCTACCACAAGACTGATCCTTGCGATGTTGCCACTTCTAAGGACTGGAGTTGAAGGTGGCCGTGCGTGATGACTCCATGAGCGAGCACTTTTACGAGACCTTCTCTGGAGGAAGACGATACCCCCCCCCCCCCAACAACGCCGTACCTAACGCTTTCGATCCGAACCATACCGAGTATATATTGAAGTAAGTAACCTCCAATGGTTAACGATACATTGTTGACACTTCAACAAATTCGCAATCGAAATTCTACAAATGCACACAACGTGATTTGAAATTTAAGAACTAACCAAAGTTTGTATCAGAAAATCCCTATGCACAATTTCTTCAGCTTCTGCTTAAGAAGAAATGGTTTTGCACGAAATAAATAATGAATCGAAACTTTGATTTGTTGATGACATCCATGCAGATTTTCGTGGATGTAACCTCAAAATAATAAGAATAAGACAGACAGAAATTGAGATAAAAGTCACAATTTCTGTCTGTCTGTCGCGGCCCAGAAGCATTTTAGGCGGCCTACTCCAAGAAAACTAGACTAGCCTACCGATCATGATTCTGTCGATTCTGAACTACCTGAAGTGAACTGGAGCCAAACTGCCGACCCCCTTCCCCAGTCAGTACAGTCCAACGTGGTAATGAACTCTTATGTCTTTTTTTAATTAATTTAAGGCAGTTCAACGATGTCCTAAATGACCGTGGAGTGTGTCTGATGTACCTTATTTTGTGTTCCCATCATGGTATCAAAAGACACTGTTTCTCTGGTTCCAGCGGAGTCTCATCACCCTGCTTTATCAGTGGTTGTACCTGCTTTGCCTCAAAAAATCTCGGACAGAGCTCCTATTTTCCGACCAAACTTCAGACAAAGTGATCTGCCTGCTATTAGTTTGGAACTTCAGTCACATGATTTCAGTTGGTTTGACCCTGAGTCCGATACTAATGCTTTGTTTAATAGTTTTTGTAGAACGGTCAGTACCATAGTTTTGCGTCATACTTCCCATGAAAAATATTGCTAAGTCTCCCTTTTCCGTCTGGTTCTCACCCCAGTTGCGTGCGCCAGAACTGAATGCAAACTATACTCTCTGGAATCTGTTACAAAAACTACTTGCAGTTTATTCAAGCTAATATAATGGGCAATCCTAAGTCTTTCTGGGGTTTTGTGAGGAACCTCACATCTTCTGATGATCAGCCTAGAACCTTCAAGTATGATGATCATTCCTCGGAGAATCCTGATATCATTTCCAACTTCTTCGCTGACTTCTTCTCGTCGGTCAAATAGTATTTTAAGTGGTACCCTTTGTTCTTTACGATAAATAATACAAAATGTATACCAAAAACAAAAATAGAATATTTATTTTACATAATTGTTAGTGTATAAACAATGTTTTTTTCATTAGGTGTATAAATATATAAGTTTTTAGGCGTACCCTTTTATGTTTGCATATTTAATAGTGGAGGATTTAAAAGTTGAGTGCACAGGTGTGCTGCGATCGGGGCTTAATATATTAGGACAAAAGTAAAATAATTTTCTGTGCTGCATTCTGTGGAAACAATGTTGCACTATTTCAAATCATGAATAATACAAAATGTTGTGATTATTCAAACCTTCAAAACAGTTGGTGAAATTAAACATCTACTATTAAATCTATACATGTATATTTAATACGACATGAAACTTTGTGAACAATATAAGGCTTGTTTGTTTTAAGATTTAACCCCACGTATTATATACCAAAATGTTCGTCTAGGTGTGTAGATGTGCAAACTGGCTTTAGGTTTTCAAATCGAAATATATCTTTTTAAGGGCGTGGGCTGCCATCAAAGTTCCTTCCATAAGGATAACATTGTGATTGATTTGAATGTTATTATATTCTGAAACAGATGTCAATATGTTAGTTAAAAAAAAAAAACAATCCCAGCTGTTTTGTTTGGTTTTGAAATGTAAACAGTTTGCATGATTTAAAAAATAATTAGAAACCCGACAAAGAAATGTTATCTATAGAACACGGGAGAAAAGTTGTACATTTTATTTTCGTTTAAACTTGCCAAGGACCCGACGACAAAGAAATGTTGCCGGTCGGACTTAGCGAGTCCACATACGGCAAGCAATGTAAAACTTAAGGAGCCCAGACGAGGAGCTGGAACAGTTAGTGGCAACGTGTACTTACACTGACAAATACAAGAACTCAGCAGCATTCACTAGGCGAGATGGCATTACAATGTCAGAAACGTGGTGCGCTACATTTCAAAAAAGAACAAAGAAGAAGAGGCAAAAGATTTTCATCCTGTTGCCATAAAGGAAAAGTGAATCTACAGCCATTCAGAGAAAGCTATTATATCCAGAGCCTACTTAATGGAGCAAATCATTTAAGCAAAAACTACAAAGAGAACATTAGATCGTACAACTCTGCGCTCGCAATGGTCAGCACTCGAGCTAAAATTGAAAAACGTAACGGTGGAGGGCCTTCTGTATAAGGTGCACGACACAATTTATCACTCAATTGGCACCTTGCAACCGTCAGAAGGGGAGCATCGTACATATGCCCAAATTTATATCTACGACGTCAAAACCGCTGTTTAAGAAAGAATGCTAAAAGAAACAAAGCCAATGGCTCTTGAAGCACTGAACTCATGTACATTTTGACTTGACATTTGGTTGAAAATAATCCATACGCCACACCCAAGTTTTCAGCATGATGAGCTCCGTCCTACAAAATACCACACTGAACAGCAAAAAGAACTTAGAATGCATTCAGCCAACGACCGAGCTGAAGACCAACGTCGATACAATGACGCAACTTCTAACGACGTTGCTTTAATATCCTAATTTATTATTCGCACGGTTTCACCTAGTTATATTTATTTGTACACATTGTAGTTCCAAAAGTCTGACATTGGACCCCTTAAAAGCCTCTGCGGATCTGCACCAAACTTCAAACAAACCATCCTTGAATAATGCTTAATAAAATAATGCCTGAAAGTTTCATTACAATCTGTCAAGTGGTTTCGGAGTCCATAGGGTACATACATACATACTTCCTCTTTTATAGACTATCTGAACAGAATAAAACTTTAATTCGCTAAAGAATCACACTTGAAATATGTTAAAAGTACAAACAGCCAATAAATAAACAAAATAAATAACATGGGATTAACAATTTAAAACATTAAGTAAAGAAGGAAAGGCAGAGTATAAATAATATTATACCGTAGCATTCTTCCCACCTTAGGAGTGGAAGTAGTCCTTCAAGTAGACTGGAGGCTTCCCGGGGTCTATTACTTCTTCTAATGGGCTCGTTGTTATTTTTAAAACTATTTTCTCCACTACAGTATTGGATTTGCTTACTGTGGGTGTGTGAACCAGTGTTGTACAGGACTGGGAAACTTACATGTTTTAAAACATTGGTGCCAAAAATCCTACAATCACGGTATCCACTCATAAAAGCGTTTTGAATGCTGTTGTGTCTAGTAAAAAGTCACAACTACACTGGGTGATGCGGTTGTTGCTGTGATCTCGGAAGATCTTGTCGATTTTCTTTTGTTCATAACAATCGCTTTTTCAATGTGTCACTTTTCGGTTCCAACTTACCGCTATTGCTGGACCATACCGCCAATAGGCCTGTGGTCCATATCCTATTGGCAAGTGCCTACCCAATTATCCACAGCTAAATTTCGACGACGACTCTCCGGTACCGGTACTTTTCCCAAGAACCAGTTTTATGTTAAATTAATCATTGGTTAACAAAGAGAACAAAAAAGAATATCCGGCTGACATTTAATTGCAAGGTATTTGGTCTGGCTTGAAACTGTCAGATGTTGTGTTTTCGAATGTTGTGAGTATTCCAATAATAGGTTTGCAAGCATATCTGGAAAACTGCACACTTAATAAAATCCAAACCATCTGTTGATCAGAATATAACAAGGTTTACACTGACTTCAAGATCCCCGTCAGAAGAACGGGCACACTGCTAGTTTAATAAATTATTTGTGATATTGTGTGAATGTTTGATAATTAACTTTTTTCTATTGAGGTGCAGTCGTAGAACATTATGGCTATGATAGATGTAATGTGTTATCCTATAGCATACCATAAATTCAAAGAACCAAATTTCCCCAAACCGTGTCCCCCCCACATTGCAAAATCAGAGCACGGGTATAACTGCAATAAGCATTTTATTACGCAACCCCGTACGAAGGACAGGTACCGTACTCTGCTAGTCTAATCTAAACAACTAACCTCGGTATTGAAAATGCCATATGTTTGTTGGTGTTTCCAGTCCGTACACAAGCCAAGCTACCTGTCTTAGAGGGGGGTACAATTCCATCCTACATATATAATTTGATGTTGGCAGGGGAACAATTCCAGGCTGTGCATCTCCTGCTCTTCTTAATTTCTAATATAACTATCCGGTTCACTGATCACTCTCCCACATTAAATAGACTAGATTTCGTTAACATCGAAGTGTACGGGTAGGAATTGTATCTCTAGGTGTCATGTCAAAATTACGTTGACGATCGGTTGAGGGCACAATTCTGGCGACTCGGACCACAGCTAACCGATAATCGGACTATCCATCCTTGCTCGTAAAATATAGAGTTTTTTTAACCAACCCTGTTTTGAGAGGAGTCCGATTTAACCGCCGCTTTCAAGGAATCTCTGTATTTCCGCTCCCATGCTCAGCAATGGGAACAATATACTAAACTATACTGTTAGAGGCTATAAATAAACATCCTATCTCATAAAGAAATGGTTGTTTGTATCTTTAATTTTGTTGATTTGGAAAGCATCAACTACTATTACAATAGGTATTAAAATAAGCATTTTTTTTATATAATCATGCCTATGACTATGATTTATTCCACTGAAAGAATAATACTTAAGAAAAAAAGGTGATAAATGTAATTTATTTTGTAAATAATGCACGTCATCATTCCAAATGAATAGCACTTCATTTTTTTTTTTAGTTTTTAGGGATTGCCTGTTTTAACCGAATTCGACCTTGGTCAGGTCCCGTCAGGGTCGGTTAAGAGGAGGTCTACTGTTTTTAGGGTGGATTAATAAATTTAGGGATACAAGCAGTTTAAAAGTCCCATTTGCGGTTGAATATGTTTACTTATTTCACAGAACAGAATGGAAATTGAACAGTTAGTCACATTAGCTATATTACAGATACACATTGTCATAGATTGAGCTGCGAACCGAGTCCATGCACATACAAAACTAGGTTGAGATTCTTTATTTACAATGGAAAAACAAAAAAATCATTCACGCTCTCAAACAGATACTCAGTAGAATTTACAGAATAGATCAATGTACACCCACAAAAATATTACGAGTTCTTTTAATGTTCAACTAAAAACTAAATCTAAATATAAAAATGGGTTAAAACTCGATATAAATAAAAAGCAATATAAATTGACAGTTTGATCAATGAAGTTTTCATCACACAGGAAGTGTAGTCTGCGTTGTGATGTCACACAGCCTGTCCGCAGTGTTTTGTACACAAATCACTTGACACAAGCCAGTCGAGTCACTTAACTCGCAAAATGTCACTTAACCAAAGTAAGCTGAGGGTCACTTCTTTTTTATCCGGCTACATATCCACTCAAGCCCTTGATACAACCTGGAAACAAAAATAGGAAATAAACAAATACATCATGCATTAAAAACAAATAAATTTAGTGTGTGCAAAAAAGAATGGATCTAAAGTAAACGGGCATAAACATTTAATTATTTAAGATAAAAGTTAACTTTATATACAATTTTTTCCTTGACTACCTAAGTTTTTCCTACCATGGGTTCATCGTCTAACCTCTAGGTGTTATCAATTATTTGCTTGAAGAAAGTCAAGTTTGTAACCCAGATCTGACCATGCATTATGGCGCGTTTCATTAGATATTTCCAAAGGCTTCCCTTATCTTTGCTTTAAGTTCATCTATGTTTGAGATCGGCGAGCAATTAAAATACACTTGATCTTTCACAAACCCCCAGACAAGAAAAAAACACCACAGATTTTATTACTATATACCATTCTATATACTGTGCTTTCAAGTGCACTTCTATATTGCAACTTTATGTTTTGAAAATTCAAACGTGCACTTTCTCTTTCTATACACTTGACAAAGTCCCCCAGGGGACGAATTATTGTGTGTTTTGTGTGTATTCTGACTGATGAGATATTTGTCAAGTTAGAATAATTAACAGATTTGGAGAAAATGTGTCAAACTTAATCTGCAATGGATCCAGCTTCTAGGTTTAACCTTTTGACTATTGATATTCCTAAACGTGCCATTATCTTTTTGGTGTTTATCAATGCTAGTGACATTTTTAAAAGGCTTTCTGTAAGGGAATGGTCCATAACGTGATCTTTTACTATCTAGTGTCGACCTTTTTTTAGATTGCATCATTAATTGATGACCCAATTACATATGGAATCTAGATTCTAGTTTGGTATCAAACCAGCGACCTTCATATTTGAACAAAATAATATAAAGGGGAGAAAATGTAATATTAGACTGTATCACACTCTGTAAGTGACATAGTAGAGTATATTCTTTTTTCATAAAAAATATGCCACAGCTGGTCCATATAAATGGAATGTAGACTTCAGTATTCTAAAGTCAATGGTTTAACCCAGTGCAGTGATGTCTATATACTAGTAGCCTGCTCAGAGAAGCCAATGGCACAAACTGAGAGTCCATCAGACTGGGGGTCATTAGTGATAGAACCAACGGACTATTGACTTTGAAAGGATCAAGTTTGGCTAGCTAACATAAGAAAATCAGATCACCGGGGCTCTAGATGTTAGAGAAGTAATATTTCTCATCTTGTCTTTACATCATCAAGGACAAAATGTCAACTGGTATGTCATATTCTGGTCAAGGATCACCCTGTATTTCTTGCATACAAGGTAAGCAAACTACAACTCCTTATTCTAAAAAGAAGAAGGGAACTCGCGCAGCAGAAATTTTAGGATTAGTGCATTCCACTTATGCGGCCCAGTGAATGTTACTTCGCATGGAGGCGCTCAATATTTACTAACTCTCACTGATGATTTTTCAAGAAAAACATTCGGCTACTTTTTGAAGCAAAAGAACGAAGTTGTTTCCAAAATTAAAGAATGGAAATTGCTTTTAGAAAATGAGACTGGGAAAAGATTGAAGAAACTCCGTACTGATAATGGAGGTGAATTTGTGAACAAAGAGCTAAAGGTTTTCTTTAAGCTTAAGGCGTTGCTGAGAGGGCAAATCGTACAATTTTTGAGAAGACTCGTTCTCTGCTGCATGATTGTGGCTTGGACAAAAAGTATTGGGATGAAGCAGCTAATACTGTAATTTTTTTGAAGAATCGGTCTCCTACTAAAGCTGTTTTTGGGAGAACACCGGAAGAGGTGTGGACCAACAAGAAGGTTGATCTTAGGCATTTGCGAGTTTTTGGTTGCAAAGCTTTTGCTCACGTGCCAAGTGGACAAAGAAAGAAGCTCGATCCCAAAAGTCGTGAGTTGATTTTTGTTGGTTATTGCCAAAACTCTAAAGCCTACAGACTTGTTGATCCAAGATATCCCTCTAAGATAATCATATCCAGAGATGTTGTGTTCTTGGAGGAAAAAACCAGTTGAAGGAGGAGAAGTGAGAGATAACAAATCATATAAGATTTTAGATCTATCAAATGATGACTCAGATAGTAAAGCCATAACTGAGAATGATGTTAATGATGACATAGCTGAGGATGTATCAAATCTAGAAGAGGACATGTGTATAACAGACTAGCTGTACACACGGGCTTTGTCTTGTTTAACTTCACAAGTGAGCTCGTTCGCATGGCTCAATCACGTCCTGGTTGAAGTTTGTTCGCTACGCTCACTCACCTTCAAGTTGGAGCTCGTTCGCTCCGCTCACTTTCCTTCAGGTTAGCTCGTTCGCTACGCTATTTCGCTTCCAGGTTGAAGTTCGTTCGTTACGCTCACTCACCTTTTGGTTGCAAATTGGCTGTAGTCATAAATTTAAAAAAATAATAGTGCTGCACCCTGTTGGTAATCCTTGTAACTGTAATGCTCTTGCACATCATAGAACAGAACCAACTTGTTTAATTGAAACAGCTGTTAAGAAATTCCTTTTAAATATGAAAAATCATAAGGTTAACATGGGAAACTCCAGAGCCACTAGGGCGGAGCCCGAAAGCCCGATCAGAATAAAAACTACTTAGTTTTCTTATTTAATGCCCAAAGAATCGGTGTACCGAATTTCAGCCTCCTAGGTAAATGGGAAGTGGGAGAATTAGTGACAAGTGAGTGAGTCAGTCAGTGAGGGTCTTGCCTTTTATATATTTAGATGACACAATATCAGAACCTGACACAGAAAACAGAGAATCAAGTCTTGAGAATCAAGTCTTGAAGAAAATATGTATACATCAGATGATCATGAAGCAGCCCCAGAGGTGAAAAGATATCCACAAAGAACACGGAAACCAAAGGACATGGGACCATTTCAAGTGTATAATGTGGTTCATGATCACACACCAATTCATCATTTGGATTTGTCAACTGCTTTTTTGAACAGACAGCGGAAAGAAGCCCAAAATATTCAACAGCCTGAAAACTTTGTTGTGTCAAGAAAACAAGACAGAAGGTGTTCCTGGCCCAATGCATCAAGCGTCAGTGCAATTAATCGGACTGGATCAAGTTGATAAACATTAAGGGGTGGTGTTAGAGAAGTAATATTTCTCATCTTGTCTTTTACATCATCACCTGATCAAATATTAATTGTCTTGTTTACCTTTTGTATGTTATGGTTTGGTTTAGTGTAATTGTTAAAAAATATGTATTAATAATTTGTTCAGTATAAAATCGTTTTCCATTATATTTCTGGGCTATTTATTACATAAACTATTACTAGATAGTGTACTTTTTGTAAAAGACAAAATATCGGTGTCATGTTAAGTGACCTTTTAATGTGAACCTATCAGCTCCTTGACACATAATTTTCCCTAGTAAGCTAGCTAAACGCAATCCTTTTCAAAACAAATCCCTAAAAAACTTCGTCAGCCTGTGGCTGTTTGAAAATATAACATTAGCTAATAAAATTATCTGATGATGCTCTACGTACATTTAAGCAATGGTACAAGGTAACATTTAAGTTTATAAACAATTTCACTAAAAAAGGAAAACATGGGCAAATACACATAATCTTAGAACTTTGGTCTACATCATGTTTGGTGCATTGAGATTAAGTATGTCAGACTAGGTGTAGGTGTGTAGTGTAAACAATAAAATGTCTTTGTCTTTAACATGATAATGGGTTGTTTACGCCAAGCTATAGTGGGGGATTCCCATGGTTAAGTTGTTGCCAGTTATATCTCTTGAAAATGAACATAGTTAGTTACCCCTCGCCACTGAGAGCGCAGCAGGACTGGATGTGCCACTGGTGTCGCTTGATGGCCGTCAGGTCCAGTTGTCTGCTGATCTCCGCAGCACTCATGGCTCCCTTCACGTCCTGCTTGTTTGCAAACACCAGCAACGCTGCCTTGCTCAGCTCCTCGTGGTTCAACATGCGGTACAGCTCCTGCCTCGTCACTGACAGCCGCTCTCGGTCTGTCGAGTCTATCACCACTATCACAAACTGCAGACAAAAACATACATGTCAAATCATTATGCTAAATTGTGACATACGAGTGAGGGAAAGTATTATGAAGCTACTAAATTGAAGTAAATGTCTCTTTTAACAGTCTTGAACCAAACAAGAATGTACTGGTACAACATGTCCTCACCTAGTACAGTAATAACTAGGTCAACAGTTCAATCTTAAAATAAGTTATTAGCATTTTGGTAGTTTGATCTTAGTCCCAGCTGTTCTTGTTTATTGGTTTGAAATAATTAAAATAAGTAGTTCTAGCTGAGGAAACAGCTGATCTTGGTCAGCACAGCTTATCCCACTCCAATTTGCATCCTGCGTTCAGTTTAAAACAATATGTATGTGTGTGTGTCAATGTATGTATGAATTGATTTATTTATTGGTCTCCACTGACACCCAATTGAGCCACCTTATTTTAATTGTCTTTGGACAAGTCAACAGATTTTTGGACAGCCTAACTAAAAATTGTCAAAAAAGGATATTCGCCTAAGGCCTGTTATTATGGTAACAGTGACTCCAATGGTTTTGTGCATTACCTTATTTAATATTTTATTTCTAGTGATGAAAGCCACATACTAGAAAGGACTAAATTTAGCTCAAATATTGTTAGAACAACTTACTTTACTGAAGTGGAAGAACTGGCATTGAAGCATATGGTGTGGTGTTAAATTAAGCATCTTTGCCACCAAGACTGATATTCGAATATATAATAGGTTACGTACCTTGTTCCGTCTTCAGTCTTAATTTGTCTATGGATGACTAGTTTCGGGTACAAAGACCCATTATCAAATCCTTATTTAAAACATCATATTGAATATGGTCAAATATCCGACGTGAGTCTTCATCAATGTATACAATGTATGTGTCGTCGACCTGCATGTATACATTGATGAAGACTCACGTCAGATGATATTTGATCATATTCAATATGATGTTTTAAATAAGGATTTGATAATGGGTACCCGAAACTAGTCATCCATAGACAAGTTAAAACTGAAGACGGAACAAGGTACGTAACCTATTATATGTTAAATTAAGGCCCAAGGCGACCAATATCCATTTAAAAGTAATTATTTTCTCCACCTCCCTACTTTTTTGCCATTTGTCCTTGTCCATCATATTATGGTGTGGTTGTCAGGTGTCAGCTCCCTGTCTTAATCTCTATTTATCCCATGCGTTTAGAGAGATGGGAACTACTGTCAACCAGTTCAAGAGAACAGATAAAAAAAGAAAAAAGGCATCATTAACCTGAATATACTAATTCAGACTTAATGCTGACATTTTTCAGCATTAAGTTTGCTGAAAAATGTGTTACATTCACATTTTTCAGTAAAACTCTCAACACATCAAGCGTGTGCTGTTGTCATCGTTTCAGAAGAACTATTTGTTGTAAATTATGTTTCTATTTTGTGTCCTCTTCCCGTTGCAAAGCACGGGTACAACAGCTAGTATATATAGGCATATATATATAGTATATAGGTATACATATATAAAAATTTGAACAAATGGTGTTTTTGGCCTCTGGGGACATAAAAATGAAAAAGTAAATAGTTTCCGGGCCTAGGCCTTACAATTAGACCAACGGTAATAGCTACTTCCATATAGGGAAATTCGCTAATAAAACGAAAAGAGACTATAGTTAGTCTATAGTTGACTATAGTTTTAGAGTACTAAAGTTAATAACAAATATATTATTATTAATGAAGGTTATAAGTAGTATAATATATAATGTATTTTTTCAGGTACTGTATAAACACAGGGTTTTTCTTATTTGTATAGTACTAGCTGTACCCGCGGGCTTTGCCCCGTTTTACTTCATAAGTGAGCTCGTTCGCATGGCTCGATCACGTCTTGGTTGAAGTTCGTTTGCTACGCTCACTCACCTTTTCGTTGCAAATTAGCTGTTGTCGTAAATTTAAAAAAATAATAGTGCTGCACCCTGTTGGTAATCCTTGTAACTTTAATACTATTGAACATCATAGAACAGAACCAACTTGTTTAATTGAAACAGCTGTTAAGATTCATTAATTCCATTTAAATATGAGTACTCATACGGTTAACATGGGAAACTCCAGAGCCACTGGGGCGGAGCCCGAGAGTCCGATCAGAAAAAAAAATAGTTTTCCTATTTAATGCCTAAAGAATCAGTGTACCAAATTTCAGCCTCCTAGGTAAATGGGAAGTGGGAGAATTAGCGAAGAGTGAGTGAGTCAGTCAGTGAGGGCTTTGCCTTTTATATATATAGATTAAGACACGGCCACCTATAAGGTGTGATTAAGAGCTTACCTGAATTATTATACCCTAAAATAAAAATAAATAGTTTATGATTTATTAAAGAATTTCGACGTCGACATCAGCACACTTACAAATTAACCAAGATGAACTGCTTATTCAGATTTGACAAGGATCAGGGTTCAGGGATCGAAAACCTACTTTTACCATCGGTTATAATGCATGCGTTAAATCAAAGATAGGCCTAAATATATTCCATTATGTGTTGATTCGTCTATGGCTAGACCAATACTCATACTATTTACCAGAGCCCCTAATTTTTAAAGTACAATAGGTTATATGCATGTATATTTGGTTATTTGAACCTCTAGTAAAAAAGGAATACGTGGAAACATATATTATCATGTAAATATGGGGACATTTCAAATTATTTTAACCTTGGATGCTATCGAGGATTTTGCGAGTAATTTTAGAATCCTTGCGAGGAAAATCGAGGATTTCCGTCGTTTCATGCGGGGAAAACCAAAGAGGTCGGTTGGCAACACTGCCCTTTGTGTTAGAACTAGTTAGGTTCCACTGTAATATCAATTGATAAACCATCCAGGTAGTTAGTGCTGTTCACAAGGGATGTGGCTAACCTCAGTGTTGGAGTAGTAAGTACTCCACGCCGCTCTCAGACTCTGTTGTCCACCCAGGTCCCACATGATGAAGTGGATGTTCTTCCACACCACTTCCTCCACATTGGAGCCAATAGTGGGGGATGTAGTCACCACTTCGTTCATCAGGAACTGGTACAGGATGGTGGTCTTGCCAGCATTATCTAGACCCACTATCACTATCTTGTGTTCTAAAACAAGCAAAAGATTTACATTCATTTAACATTTAATAACTACTGACATTATGGCAAGAGGTGAATTCCCCTTTTGGTTACAAGAAGATTTATCTTAGTGAAGTCTTTGAGCTCCAGGGATTATTCAGTGATTAAGTTAAGTCTATTTCTATCATGTTTTTCTCTTATCTTGTGGACACAAAAGTCGTAATTCGTTTATAACAATATTAACATAGTAAGGATGAGAGAGAATTTGTGATTTTTTTTAGGTAAGTTTGTAGCTCACAAAGAACACATAACATCAACTTCCACCCAAGCCGTCCACTGTTTTTACAAGTAGGCATCTTCCCCTGAACTTTGCCACGGGTTATGTTTTTTTTTTCTCATGGGGCTAGGGTATCATTACTCCTTGCTACCTCGACCTTCAAGATCTTTTGTAGCACCCTTTTTGCTTAGTCACCCAACCGAAGTTTTCTTGTGAAGCCAATAGTTGGTGCACACCCATTTCTCGTATTTCAGTAGGCATCGGGAATGCCTTTCCTATTTGTTTCAACCTTTTCTGGGCTATCGCCGGACATTCCAGCCATATGTGCTTCGGGTTATGTTCGATATATCAGATTTTGGAGCTCAGAGAGTTAAAATAAGATTTAGTTTTTAATCATACTACAGGAAATATTTAATATTCCTTTTGTATTAGCTGACAAATCTACATTTTAAACCCCCATCACAAAATACAGGTTTATGTAGGCCTAAATCATATAGTTTTGAAAATATATTATGAGTACATCTGGGTATTTTAAAACTAAATAACTTCTTTATCAGAATAATATGTAATATTAATTTTACACAAGCGTCTAGGCAGCCAGTGCAACTCCGAAGATCGTGGATCAGAAAACCCCCTACCACCGCAACATGTCGTATGCTTCTGAATCATATCGGCGCATCAGCATAGCCTAACTGTTTCTGGAAAATTACTGTCAAAACGTATCGATTGTAGGTTAAATTTAAATTAAATATAATTAAACTGTCATAACCTAACCCAACAAACCAAACTTGTAGTTGCACTGACTGCCTAGACGCTTATTTAATTTTACTGAGAGTAAATAAGAATATGTCTAATAACACTTGAAACATATGTTTTCATGTGTTATTAGACATACTTTTATTTACTCTCATTTAAAAAGTTGCAATCATACATAATGTCCAAAGAAAAAAAGAGGCCTGAAAATGTTTTAAAATCCAATAAATTGTGTTACACAATAAGTAATTTGAGTTTTTAATTTTTTAATCAGGGAATAATTTGAATCAATCCATAAACAATTTACAAATACTTTAACTTGAATACCTTAACTTAAAAAGCAATAACTTTATTTGTTATAACTATTTTGAATCGTTATCATTGTTTATTATAGCATACAAATAATAAAATAAACTAGAGGTCGTCCAGTGGTCGAAAACTCGACCAAAAACATGTAACATACACGTATTGACTATTGGATACTGAAGTAGACCTTCCATCTATATGGACCAACTGTCGCCATTTTTTTACACATGTAGTTGTGTGAGCCATTCACCGAAAGCGTTTCTTTAATTCTATTTACTACCTTTTTTTTGTTGCTGACAAAGTTGATGGGTCATAACAGTTGCTATAGCTAATTCAAACAGTTTGACTTGGTAAAAAACATTGTGTATTCGATAGAAATTTATGTCACTTAGATCAGCGCAGTCTATTGGTGGCTCACATGAACTACGACGAATTTAATGAAAAAAAAAATTGTGACAGCTTTAACATGGGAATGTAATGTAAGCTTCTCTTCTTCAGGCTTCTCTATTTTCACCCCCCCCCCCCTGTAAATAAAACATGTGATTGAAATTTCTTCCATTTGTTTTAATTTTCTGTTTATATTTCGTTGTTATTTCGTCACCATCATGGCAACCGATAAAGCCCATGTTAAATTTAAAAAAATTCATATTCATTTTTTGTGCTTATATTTGAGCCTATTTTAATTTTTAAAGGGATTCTGCACTTCTACATGAAGATATCTTTCTAACGGTATGCGTAGATTTTCCCTGCGATGCACACGAGCTGAGAAAAAAGGTTTTAAAGAAACATGCTTGCCTATTATAGATAGATAGGCTATAAATGCTACAGAAATGCCAAGTATCTATGCACAAATTCAAATTCCATCCATAGAAGTTCAAATTTAACTAGGCCTACCAAAGATGTTTATGATATAGAATTATTGATAGTCAAAATTGTTATGTAAGAATACAAATTATTTCAAGATGGCAAAACTACTCATACTGTAACACAAATGTTTTCTAAAACTTATCAGAAAAAATCAGTTTACTATTCTGTAGTAATGATTATTATTAAACTATATTAGTAATCAGAATAATAAACTATTTTGTAGTTATCAAAATTTTAACAGAAGCTAAAAAATAGCTTCACAGGTTTAAATCAAACATTGTTAGGGTACAATTTTTAAGAAACACTCAGAAGTTTAGCTAATAAAATGGAAGTAAACAAAATTAAAATCACAACAAGAATATAATGAGTTATTCTTCTGGGTTAACTACCTAGGTGTTGCGTATATCCACTCACAAATGAGAGAGTCATCAGCTGCTACGCAATCCCTTGTTTAAACAGATAAATGATACAGCTATTAAGCTGGCTGCCGTCAATGGATTCAGAGACAGATGTTTCCTAGCCAAAAATATTCCACCTGGGACCTAATGATTTCTGGTTTGAGGATTTCCCCTTTTCATCAAAACTACTGATAAGCAAATTTATAGTTTCCTTTTATAGTTAGCCAATAGCTTTAAAAATTCACAAGAAAAGAGAATATACTCTTAGATCCACTTTAATCAATTAGGACAAAGGTTTACTGTGTAATGAAAGATAAAAAAATATTGTTTTGATTTAAAATTTCAAAGGCTAACAACAAATGTTAGCAAGTCAATGGCCAAATTCAATCAGAATAATGCACACTAACAGTCTATTCTCAGCACAGTAATTAATTAATTTATTTTTATTAGGCCTAAAGGTAACAGAAGTGACAGCGAGTTGTGTTTGACATTAATATAGGATAAAAATGTTGTAACAAATGGGTTCTTAAGTGTTTAAAAACAGGTAAAATAATATGTTTATAATACCGTTCATACGTGTACAGAACGTTATTAATTCATGTAGCCTGTATTTGATATTATTATCTGTAGCAATTAATTCATTTTAATTTCTAATCAAATGTTTCATCTATATATTTAGGTAAAAAGATGTAGACAAGCTTTATATGTTATTTTATCCAGGGTTTAAAACTGGAATGAAAGGAAAGTTTTCTAAGTCAGACAGATTATTCAATGGGATGAACTTTAGATAACACAAGCTGTCGTTTATCTTGTCTGTGTATTGTGTGTTGGAAAAAAATATTTATTCTGTCTGGGAACCAGAAAAAGCTCAGTAAATAACAAGAACTCCATCAAACATGAACACTATAACGGTACCTTTGACTATTAAAATAGTCAATGCCGGTACGCTAAATTTGATATGAAATTAAAATTTCTTTTTTGAAACTTTTAATTACGTTTTTTGTTTATTTTTTAGTTAGTTGTGTTAGTTCACAATTTATGGCTATAAAAAGAATGCTAAGGGCAATGGGCAAACTTGATAACAACAGCTTAAACAAGTATTGTACATGAGCTCTCATGTTAGATAATGAGAGTGAGAGATAGATAAGCCTCTCATTATTACACAAGATTATCAACAGAACTTTACATAGCTATGGAAACCCAATATGACATTCCAGAATGTCAGCATAACATGGACTGAAGGGCATAAAATATTCTCTGACATTCACATTTTAATTTAGGTGGCAATACAGTTCAATATGACATAATATTTGATAAACATTTATTTTACCTTTCCATGAACTAAGATTATTTCAGGAATCACATAAGTCTACCTACCAACACCTAGTCCCCTATGATTTACCATCATATATAATAGCACACACCAACCACTGAATGCTTGGCTGATTGTACTTTCTCTCTTGCACACGTTATGATCAAGTTACACAATGAAAGAAAGCTGTTACAGCTTGTAATCTTATAGGTATGCATTTATGTCTGCTGAATAAAAAATCCTGATATAATTTACTGCAATTTGTTTTAATTTTAAAATTAAAATTAATAGGCTAAATCTTTTAAGTTTGCGTCTTCAAATAAGAACAATTTTTCTTTATTAGTTTTTCAGTCCATTGTAAATAATACAAAAATATTTTTCTATCCATCTTCAGGCACATTACCAGTGATCACACTGAATATTTCTGGTAAAAAAAAAAAATTATCCTATACATTAAGTGCCTAATTAATTCTTGTACCTATCACCTATCACTAACTTTTAACAGAACAGAGGCTATACGTTGAACATGAAATAGATGGATTGGATGGATAGATTTTGGTATAACTGCTTCATTCTTTTCATATACCAAAATCTGTAATCAACTCAACTCTAACTTGGAATACCTTACATGTTGTAACTACTTTTTCTTGTTGGTTTATTAAAAAATTATTAATGTTTTATAACAACAGCCGTCATAGAAAACTATTTTTCATCTTTTTAGTTTACATAAAGGCAAAATAGAAAATTCTAATAATAATTAACAGTGTCTGAAAAGTTCCTAACTTCGCCAATAATAGCTCATGAGGTTAACAAGTCTAGCCTTTGTTTATCGTTAATTCTAACTTCGTAAACTATCAAAAATAGGTGTTAGTCTTGTAGGTTATGTAATTTTTTAAAGAATGTCTGAGCAGTTGGCAGTATAGTTTCAAATGAATATAGAACAAGATAAAGTTCCTAACAAGATACAGTTAATCAGCTAAGCTAATCTTGGACACACGTAATCACTGAAGCATGTGGCCTATCAGAGATGTCATTGAGCTTTATCAAGCTGCGACAGTGACCTTTGTATCTGCTGATAGCACCTGGTAATGTGCAGCCAACATTAATGTAAGCTTTAGAGAGAACTGTATATTTATGTACAAAAGCCTTGAAGGAAATAGATTGCACAAGTCTAAATAACATTGTTGAAAAAGTGCTAATTTTTCCGGTATTGCTTAAAGCTTGTAGATTAGTAGGCCTACCATAATAAAAATCAAAGTGAGTAAATCTATGTTTCTGAGAGATTCAAATTTAATAATTAATGTGTAGCATCGTCTGAAGAAAGATTGTGAAACAAAACTGTATCTGTTTCCATTTAAATTTGAGGAAAATAGAAATTCTAAACATTTTTTTTGCATCAAGTGCTGCTACAAACAAAAAGTTTTTCGATTTCTATTATAGTCTGTGTGTCTGTACTTATTAAATATTAAATAATTAATCATTTATAGGGGCTTTTCACAAACCTTTAAATAGGTGAATATTTATTTTGTTTATATAGCTAGAATTTTATAATAAAAAAAAACTAAAGAAAAATAATATAGCTACGTTGGAAAAAAAGTAAGTTAATATAGCTGCTGTGAATTTATAGTTAGCTCTTGAATTCTAATTTGCAATGCTAAAATTGTCAAAGCAGCATCACGCTTGGAGTTTGACGTTACCTATTGTTTTATGTTGTTGTTGTTCCGGATCGGTAAGACATACAATAAAAGGTTAAATTACCTGTGTCCGCCAGTCGATCCTTGTGCTGTGTCCTATTACAGGATATGCATTTCGGCAGAATAAACTGCCATCATCAGTCCTAATATAAGTCCTTGTTCTTCCCCATTGGGTGCGTCTTGAAGTTTTGAAACACGTACACGAACGATATTACACTTAGATACATTACGAATAAAACATAAAACACGGTAGGCCTACTTTTATTGAGCTATTACGGACATGTAGACGCGCGTCGGTCGTCAAACACACGACCGACGCGCGTCTACATGTCCGTAATAGCTCAATAAAAGTAGGCCTACCGTGTTTTATGTTTTATTCGTAATGTATCTAAGTGTAATATCGTTCGTGTACGTGTTTCAAAACTTCAAGACGCACCCAATGGGGAAGAACAAGGACTTATATTAGGACTGATGATGGCAGTTTATTCTGCCGAAATGCATATCCTGTAATAGGACACAGCACAAGGATCGACTGGCGGACACAGGTAATTTAACCTTTTATTGTATTACCTATTGTATTTGTTTACTTAATGGTATAATAAATCTCTTGAATCTTGATGAAGATGAAGGATTTATTGCCTGCTCATTTTAGGAAGGATTAATAGGCTACTAAGTTATTGATATTTTACTAAAAACACACACTTTATTACCCTTCCTGTAGCAGAAAACCTAGGTAGGTACTTGTTAAACATGTTATTTAAATTGATTTAATTGAAAATCCAACCAGGCAAATGGAAATTCGCTTATGCAGGTTTGCTGCGGCGGGTGTATTACACTTAACTAAATGTAACAGCAGGTTGTAATTAATTTCGTTGACGTGAAAAAATTTGCATTTTTTTGTGGCTTGAAAATTTGTGTTTTTATTGCTTTTAACACTTATTGTTATCATGAGATTAAAAATCAAGGTACACTATTTGTTGTGGTTTTTAAGATCTTTGTTCAGCAACTAAATAACAGTAGGCTATATTATTTAATGTGTTCAGAATGTCAATGTCAGAGGAACGAATTTTGGGATGGCACCTGCCTTCTTCTATCACTAATTTATGATTATTTACTAGGATTGCTTTCACATCACTGTAGACCTGCAACTGTTTATTTAGTTTCTTTGAGGGTTAAGTTATATGAACCACAATAAAACATCGTGCAAGGTTATTATGTTACTTAAGTATTATGTATAGATATATAATACTTTTCAATTAAGTTTTGGGAGAACTCGAGAACTGACAGTACTATTAGAAAATTAGTTTTAAGCATGTGAAAGGAGAAACAGAGGGAATAGTTTTCCTGCCATAAACATTATGTAAACCTCCTGGTAGAAGGATCAGTTAATGTTGTAAATGAAGTTTAAGTTCTCTCTTGGTGTAACTTAAGAAGCCTAGTCACATATTGTTTGGATTACATTTTCGTGAGCAAAGCCACGACGTGGTAAGCTAGTAACTAAGTTACAGACCTAGCCCATACAAAATATACAATCTAACATAAACAGGGTGCCACATTAACTAGGCTTTAAGAAATGTATTTAGTTTCAATTACTGAACAATTAATTAGCATAGGCCTGTAGTTATCTAAGGATAAAAATTGAAGCTGTTACCTAAGTATACGCTAAGTTACTTAAGTTCCCAAATTGGAAATACATTACATACCAATCAAAGTTTGGTTACTGCATATACATTATAAGTCAATTGGCTTAAAATCAAAAGGCAATTAGAATAACACTCACCTTCGTTGCCAAATAGACTCCATATCTTTGAGAATAACAAGCCCATCGTAAGTTACAAGATTCGTAGGGCAAACTCCTAGCATTGGCAAAATTTCAAATCTGAAAATACAGTTAAAGGCATTAACTATTAAAAAATTGATCAATTATATTATTTAGTCTTACTTATTAACTGTAGAGGTGACAACTGTATTATGCTTTCAAACCGGCACAAATTCATATAACTTAACTTTCCAATTCCAAAACACAAATCATCTTACGCCTATAGGGAAAAAAACACAAACACATTGTCCTTTGTTTGAAAGTACAAACACATTGTATTTAACTTAGACCTGTATTAAACAGTTTTAACTCCCTTCCTCTGTCTCTTGAGCTATAGAGAAGCCTTTAAAAAATCAGCTTTTAAAAACTAAAATTGCTAAATAAAACCTGTAACACTGTCCAATAGTGCTTTGAACTGTATAAGCATAGACTAACTAACACAAAAGTAGACTGTACATTTTGAAGCTCGTTTTTCACGTCTAGTTCATGTACGGTGACAATAGTAGTGGTGACAACATTTTGTTTCTATCATTTTAGGGTTAATTTCTTGATGTATGCTTTACTGCTTCCAGGGGACGAGTTATTGTTTAACTTATGATTAGATCATATATTTTGCTTAACCCTCCGAGTGTCCATAGTTTAGGCCTTAATGTCCACCTATTTTTGGCCCCTTTGCAAGGTTTTATTAAAACGGATCTGAGAAGCTTAAAACAATGTTAATTCTTATGTTCTATATACCATTTTGTTTGGAAAATCATGGGCTTCAATATTATATATAAAACATAAGGAACATTTTTTCAAAAAAAAAATTTTTAGGTAAAAAAAAAATATAATTTCGAAAATTTTCAAAAAAAAAATAAGTTCGCGCTCAATGAAATTGTATAAATTATAGGCCTATAAATATTTGAAAATAGCCACTTTGTTCTAAATTTAATGAGGATTACAAATATATAATCATATAGCGAGGTAAGTTACCAAATAAATAAGTTATGAGCGAAAAACGGATTTCAGTACATAGCGTTTAGCTAAGAATGCATAGCCTAACCATAGCTAGGAATCTGGCTGATAATTTACATCAATATCACTACCTACTTCTTCAGGATCATCAACCAGCACTTCAAAACCACTTAAATCTTCTTATAATGCACCACGTATATCACTACTTTTGATTTTTAACACTAAAACAATGATAAACGTAATAAAACACATCAGTCATCGGTCCGGGGGAACCTAGCTGTTTACAAATACACGCACGTCAGCTGTCTGCTACAATATTTTCGGAACTAAAATGAATAGCGCTTAGAGACAGACCTCTGGAGAAAGCTTAGAATATTACGGAAAGAACGATACCTAACTCGATCCAGTTCAATCCGATTCAGTCAGTCATAGAGCCTTCGCCGTAAACGATGTTTGTGCGTCATAAAAGTGACGCGTGACCCTACACAAAGTGTGTTGTGCGTCATTTTTATGACGCGTGACACTCGGAGGGTTAAACGAGATTTTAAATGGTTATAACAAGAAACAAATTTTAGCCTAAATAAAACATGACCTCTATCGAACACCGTACAGAACTAAAAATAAAATTGTCTTTGGCTGTTTCATATGGATGAGAAATGTACTAGGGGAGTATGTAACTTGATAGTATTGGTCATTTTTATTTTAATATTGATGGCTGAAATTGAAAATACCAGATACAATACCAATGCAAGACGATAACTAAAAGGACTGTAGGCTACAGGAATATTGAAATGAAAACATGCAGTAACAACTTTGCTGCAGTGACAGTACATGCAAACACGATGTCAACATATGTGAGACGGTTTCACAAAATGATTTGAATGAACATGGTGCAAGCCAAATGCAAAAATGACAATGTTAACATAACAATAGGCCTAATGATGACAGGACTGTATTATCTAGTGTGACAGCAATTTATGAATTTTCTAGACCTTATGACCGGGCTGATGCAAAATGTATTTTTGAGTGTAGGCTAAATTGTTATTTTGGCCCAATAAGTTAATTTAAAAGATTCTTTAAATTTAAGTTAGGCCTAAATCCAGATTGTAATTTAAGTTATGCGAGAAACTATCAGCATAAACTTTGGCTTTTGGCTACAGTAAATTGCTGTTGGTTTCACAGAAATCGTATGATTATATTTCTAGTCTTTGACTTATTTGAGCCATAGCCTATGAAACCTATTCTAGCCTATGACCTAGATTCAAAGACTGAGTCAAAATAGTTGATGATTTGAGTTAAAAACTGGGCATACTAAGTACTTCTAAGCTACAGGATTTACAGCTAGGTAGGACTAGGGCCTACCATTTCAGCCAAGCCTAGTCCTTCATCCCCTTTTAATTATAGCCTAACTTAGGTGAAAGTGTTGTTACTTCTAAATGTAAGAGAATGCTTTAGCAAAATGCCTTGTTTTAACCCTAATCACTCTCATAAGGACAAACACAAGAGCTTAACTTATACTGTAAGGAAATTATAAATGGTAACAGAACAAGTCCACGGACCATGGTCACTGTAACAGGTAAGTAATAGGCTAGTTTGAAAACAAAGGTTTTACAGAATCCAAGAGAAACAAACAAAATAGTAAAGTTAGAATACTTACATTCAAAGTAATCTTAGGTATCATCTCATACAAAAAATAAAATTTTGATTATAAAACAAGAACAAATACAAGTTTGACATAAACGAAGCCTTATCAAGCAGTTAACCTTGTTACACAAAATATACTTGACAAAATGCTAATCAAATTCTACACTACATCGTCTGTTTCAACTTTCAACAGCTGGAGGCATTCAGGTTTCAGGGACTGAGACTGAGCATAACAGCGAGCACAGCAGCAGGAAAGGAAAATAGAAAGGATTTTCCCTTCTTGGATTAGAATCAACCAAAAAATGACGAAATTTGTTTTCTCATAGAGGCAAGGCGGGCAAGGAGTCTTCTGGAGCCGTTGATTATATACGTATGACTCGCCTTTGGCTCGCTGGGGGCTCCGCCCCCAGGCCCCCTTTTTTGGTTGGGGAAAAAAGAAATGGGCCATGGCGCAAGACCTGCAATTGAGCCAAATTTTAGATCTTTAGCTAATCTAGAAGTTAGTGAATTTGATTTAGACCGATGCACCTGTAGGAATAACATTGAGGGGGGGGGTTCTATGTTTCGTGGGGGGGCGTTATATTTGTAAAATTTCCCTTTTCGGAAAGGGCGCAAGATCTACAATCATGCCAAATTTCAGATATCCAGTCAATCTAGAAATGGGTAAACGTGATTTAGAATTATGCACCTGTAAGAATATCATTAGGGGGGGGATTTAATATTTGGGGGGGGGTTTAAAATACGACGCCCCCAGGCCCCCTTTTTTGGTTGGGGGTAAATACAAATGGGCCATGGCGCAAGACCTACAATTGAGCCAAATTTCAGATCTTTAGCTAATCTAGAAGTGGGTAAAATTGATTTAGACCGATGCACCTGTAGGAATAACATTGGGGGGGGATTCTATATTTCGTGTGGGGGGAATTATATTTGTAAAATTTCACTTTTCGGAAAGGGCGCAAGATCTACAATCATGCCAAATTTCTGATATCCAGTTAATCTAGAAATGTGTAAACGTGATTTAGACTTATGCACCTGTAAGAATAACATTGGGGGGATTTAATATTTGGGGGGGGGGGGTTGTAAATACGATAGGGGGATAAAACCTTAAGTAAACCAGAGTAAATCTATAGCATGAACGGACCATGGGAACGGGGACTTATGGTGGTTTTTATGGGGTAAATGTTTTCTCCATAAGAATAACATGGGGCTCGTAAAAACTTTGAAATGTTGACATTAAACCTAAGTTTTGGGGGTTAAGGAGTAAAGTTACGAAAAAACACGTACCGTGTAAAATTTAAACTAAAGTAAGGAGAATACAAAGCAATAATAATATTTGCAAAAAGGGATTATTTAAGTATGAAAAAATAGCGAAAACCGGTAAAAAGTTGAAAGAAATTTACCAAATTTTGAAAGTAGGGAGTTTTTTGAACCCGAAAGAGTGCGATTTTCGGAAAACACCTAAGAGGGTTTTGTAGAAAATTTAATTCCTGTTCCTGGATATTCTTTCAAATCTTTTCTAGCTCTTACTGTTTTCAAGCTTAATCCGTTTGAAAAAAACGTGTTTCATCGTTTTCAGAGGTCCGCCATTTTGGATTTTTGGCGGGGTTAAAATTTGAAAATGGGACTTTTGCAAAGTTCACCGTTAATATAAGATCCCCTACAAAAATAAACCAAGTTTCAAGTCTCTAGCACGTTTCTAAACGGTTCAGATGAGCACACCAAAGTCGACCACTTTCAATGTTATTCTCCATAAGAATAACATGGGGCTTGTAAAAGTGGCAAAAAACCTTCAAATTTTGAGATTAAAATTAAGTTTTGGGGGTCAAGGAGTAAAGTTACCAAAAAACATGTAATGAGTAAAATTTAAAGTAAAGTAAGGAGAACACAAAGCAATAATAATTTTTGAAAAAAAAAAATTATTTAAGTATGAAAACATGGCGAAAACCGGTAAAAATTTAATAAAAATTTACCAAATTTTGAAAGTAGGGCGTTTTTTTAAGCTGAAGGAGTGCGATTTTTGGAAAACGCCCAAGAGGGTTTTGTATAAAATTTAATTCCTGTTCCTGGATATACTTTCAATTTTTTTCTAGCTCTTACCGTTTTCGAGCTACATCCGGTTGAAAAAAACGTGTTTTGTCGTTTTCAGAGGTCCGCCATTTTAGATTTTGGGGGGGGGTTAAAATTTGAAAATGGGACTTTTGCAAATTTCACCGGTATTGTAAGACCTCACACTACAATACTACGCAAATTTGAAGTCTCTACCACGTTTCTAAGTGGTTCAGATGAGCTTACAAAAGTCGGCAATTTTCAATGCTATTTCCCATAAGAATAACATGGGGGGGAAATTTGAGATTACGGGGGGGTTAAAATTTAAAAATTCCACTTTTTGGAATTTTCCCGGGGGTTTGGGCACTAGAACTACAACCACCGAAAATTTCAAGTCTCTAGCTCATCTAGAAGTGGTCTAGAATTTGTATCCCCCGTGAGTTACATATGCGGCTGTATAGTATTTAGAAATGTAAGGTGGCATTCAGATAGTACGAAATACCGTTATTTTTTTTGAAAAGGTGTCGCATGTATGAAATTCCTATCATAAAAGAATTGTAGATACTGTCCTATTATACGGAGGTCACTTATTTTACAGCGCGATGCTCTGTGGTTAGGTTAGGTTGGGTTATCATAAATATGTTTGTAGAACTTTCCTCGTTTCGTTATGAATTGAACTATACCAGATGAGATAAGTCATAACAAATATGATAACCCAACCTAACCTAACCGCCGCAGCACGCTGTATAAGTGTGGCCTCCGTATAATATGAAAGTACCAAAAAATATTATACTCTTACGTTAATATAAAATCAGAATTGTTCTAAGGTATACTTAACCTACTTAACTATTGAAGTGTTGTATGTAGTATTTCTGTTCATAGCCTCTTCTAAGATGCCATACAAGGTGGAAGGGAAAAACTTAGGTGTGCTATTTCCGTCCATATAGGCTGACTTGGGTCGCCAGAATTTTATCACCCTGGGCAAAGCTGACGTCACTATGACGTAGTAACCTGAGCGCTCAAAAGTTTGTTTGCGGGTGGAATTTTACCCCCGCTGATTTGGAATTATAATGAAAATAGACAGGGCGTGATTAATTAATTAGATTAGCAATAAAACCCGTACTATTACCCCCTGTCCATATCTAGCGTTTAGACAACTGAAGATGTACGGGCCGGATTTTTACCCCCCGGAATTTCACCCCCTGGATGTAGAAAATATTAAGAATGATTGATTTTCTTATTTGTATTTTTATTCAATTGTAAACCTTTTAATATTAAGTAGCCTATCTTTATTTATTTATTTTCTAATCTCAACTAAGTAAAAAGAATTTGCGGTTTAATTTTGATCATATTAACCAACAGTTGGCTTCAATGGTCGAATTCTGATACTCGAATCTCAAAATTAAAATTAAAAACCTGTCCGATTAGTCGATATTAAAAATAAATTAAGATATGCTACCTAAAATAAAATGTTTGCTACTAAATTAAAACTGAACGAAGAGAATTAACCATTCTCACTAATTTATATATCTGGCCCAGGGGGTAAAAATCCAGGCCGTACATTTTGAGCTGACCTCATAAAGGGGGTAAAAGTCCGGGGGTAAAATTCCGGCCCGTACACTCTAGGTTTTTATAATTTGATGTGTTCTTATTAAATTCACAACAGTGAAAATATACGTTTAATTCCGCGTTTTATCCATCAAACTGATGTCGCAAAACTCAAAAGATCGCGGCCGGAATTTTACCCCCTATTTTGTGACGTCCCGTTTGCCAGGAGGTAAAATTCCAGGGGGATAAAAATCCGCTACCCCGCTGACTTCACACAGATTGCAAACACCATTAATTCACCATTTATTTAGAAAAAATATAAAAACAATAATAACAATAATATCAAAACATATACTTAAATGGCAATACAATCAGGTGATTTTAGCGAATTTCTCTATTGGGAAGTAGCTATTACCGTGGTAGGTGCCACCTGGCAAATTTATCTATCTTATACATGCTTATACCATTGACTATTGGATACAGTTGTTGTATTTATAGTCAAAGCTTATACCATATACTAACCAACACAAGCTTATACTAAGCTATTAATAAAAAAAAATACAAATGGAAATTCGTTTAGTCGGCAGGTTTTCTGTGGTTGGGGTATTTTTGTTTGCAATCTGGATGACGTCAGTATGACGATTTTTTGAAATTATTTTCCTAAAAAGACTTATTTTGTATCTGGACAGTAAAATCTGCTGAACAACCATCAGTATGGGTTTCGTAAAAATAAATCTACTGTTGATGCAATATTCGACCTGTTGATGAATTTGTATGATAATCTGGATGAGATGGGCGAACAGTTGTGTGTATTCTACGACATGACAAAGGCTTTCGATTTGCTTTCACATTCAACGCTACTCCAGAAACTTAGGTCAATAGGTATAAGTGGCAAGCCTCTTTGCTGGATAGCCACATACTTGAAAAATAGGAAACAGATAGTAAGCATACGACACTCAAGTCAGGATGGGCTAATCCGAAATTTTCGTTCTGCAACTTCACCTCCCATCAACACAGGCGTGCCTCAGGGCTCGAACCTAGGCCCGGTCTTGTTCCTCCTTTATGTGAACGACTTGCCTGAGTCATTAACCTCTGGTAATGTATGGATGTTTGCTGACGACATCAGCCACCTGTTTCACTGTGAGAATGAAGAACTACTCAAGACCAAAGCCCAAGAAGGTTGAAACCTGATGAGTGAATGGTGCGATGCAAATAAATTATTGCTAAATAAAGGGAAAACAAAAGCCATACAATTTTACAACAGGAAAAAACCAGATAGTTCCCCACTGCTTCGTCGACTCGAAGGCGCAAGCGTCTGCATCGACAGCCATATCAAATATCTAGGCATTACCATCAGTGAAGACCTCAGATGGCAGAAACACATTGAAAGTTTGATACCAAGACTCACAGCTACTTGTTATATGGTGCGAGGCTTACAAAACCTAGTTGACAAAGACATACTCATGAAGGTCTATTTTGGTTGTTTTCATAGCATCATTAAATAAGGAATAGTCTTTTGGGGCAGCAGCCCACTTGCTCAACGTATTCGCCTACTACAAAAACGCATCATTAGAATAATATGCAACAAAAATTATCTAGTA